GCCAGTAGTACAGAAGGGTTGGGGAAGAGGTGAGGTTTGTTCAATGTTTGGCATGCCGCCGAGCACATATGTTCTCGTATTGGATAGTAGTCGCATACAGGGTAGCCCCCAAGCCAGTAACATGGCGTAACGGCGGGGACCGTCTGGACGTGTGAATCACATTAGCTAGACTGCCAGGCAAGTCGGCCGTTTACCTAACATACGTTACACCACTCAGCGTGCACCTATGGCCTGCTTGGCATGCCTTGGCATGTTGCCTCCTGCCGTTGGGTCGCCATACACCAGCCTCAGCTGTGGGCGCGCGAACGCATGACGGTTGTCCATGCTTTTGCGTCCAGCCCATGTGCTCTTCCCTATCCCTCCAAGCTCAGTAGCACCTGCCGTGGCAGTGCACCATCACCTTCGCCGCCTTTGGAGGAGGAGTGCAGGTTGTGTCGCCGCAGTGGTAGAGCTGTTCCACATTGGACTACCCGTAGCGTCCTCCGTAGTGCGACCACGGAGGATATGTGGAGCTGAGGTTGGAGTGCAATGTGAAGGCTACGCCTTTTTATCATAGCCGTGTCAACAGCGTGATTGAACCCTGGCTGGTTTGGTTTACACCTCTTCCGCATACCGTATGTGCTGACACCAAGACGGTTACAGCCTGGACAAGCATACCCTTGCATGTTGGCACCTTGTGTTCCTTGAAAAGGTCTAATTTGACGTAAAACACGAGGCGCGGGCCCTGTGCTTTGTGTCGTACAGGGGCTTGTAGCCTTTATATAGCCTGCCAAGTCCTGCTTTGCCAAGGACCCAAGCCAGCGGATTTAGCTCAGTTGGGAGAGCGCTAGACTGAAGATCTAGAGGTCGCTAGTTCGATCCTGGCAATTCGCAGGCTGCCAGCCTTCCTTGGAGGAGGAATACCTGTCCAAGGCTTGGGTCCCGCTTTTGCACCGCCCAGAGTGCTTGCGGTCCTTTTGCAGACCTTTTGCTGGCCGTCTTGCCGCCTCTTCGAACGGCCTACACAAAGGAGGCCAACCAAAAGGCGCAAACGGGATTAATCTCGCTCATAGGTTGCGACAAAGACGGCAGCTTGCACCATGAAACAGGGCTACAGGGGATGGGGCGCGTCTATGCAACACGGGGACATGTCGACACCCTGCAGGAACATGACATGTCAACATACCGCAAATACGGTGTAGGCACAACAAAGGAACATGTCGTCATGCCGCAGGATCATGTTGACGGACCAAAGGTACACCTCGATATACAGAAAGACAGAGGTGCAGTGCATCAATCTAACACCGCATGCACCATGCAATGACACACTAGCCTTTACGGTTACGCCCGCGACAGGCTTGTATGCATGCATGTACATACTGCATGAAGGCGGGTGCCGGGTCTTAGTGTGCCAGCCAGTTTGGAGGGGGGAGGGCGCATGGGGCTTGCGATGTTGTGCAGATCCACACGTGCGCCAGGCTAGCATGCATCTACAGCACGGTGTCACTGCACGTAACCATCCATGCATGGAACTATCACGAATACACGCACATTCACACGTGGATGTGCCCGTGTGTGTATGTGCGTTGCAGTCTGTGCGGCGGCACTGCAGCGCAAGGAAAACACATACGCTCCAGGGGGTTGCATGGACTTCCAGGCAGCCTGCATGTGTTGATGCCTTGGTTGAACTTGGAGCTTGTGTGGATGTTTTGGAAACAAGATATCTGCTTGTGTAAACATTGAAAGGATAGATTTTTGAAGTGTGCTTTCTGGCCATGGGCACATCACCCAAATGCCCACCCTGCTTGATTGCCTGGCATCTCAACCAAGGACCATGCGCCTTGCCATCACCGGTTAGCCAACACATGCACACTCGTCGGGTGATTTAGAGTACCAGCAAAAGTGGACCTGGTCGATCGCCGTGCTAGCTACGAGGTTCGTTAGCAGGGGTGAAGTTGAGCGGCTTGCAGGTAGGTGGGGAAAGGATGGCCAGTAGTACAGAAGGGTTGGGGAAGAGGTGAGGTTTGTTCAATGTTTGGCATGCCGCCGAGCACATATGTTCTCGTATTGGATAGTAGTCGCATACAGGGTAGCCCCCAAGCCAGTAACATGGCGTAACGGCGGGGACCGTCTGGACGTGTGAATCACATTAGCTAGACTGCCAGGCAAGTCGGCCGTTTACCTAACATACGTTACACCACTCAGCGTGCACCTATGGCCTGCTTGGCATGCCTTGGCATGTTGCCTCCTGCCGTTGGGTCGCCATACACCAGCCTCAGCTGTGGGCGCGCGAACGCATGACGGTTGTCCATGCTTTTGCGTCCAGCCCATGTGCTCTTCCCTATCCCTCCAAGCTCAGTAGCACCTGCCGTGGCAGTGCACCATCACCTTCGCCGCCTTTGGAGGAGGAGTGCAGGTTGTGTCGCCGCAGTGGTAGAGCTGTTCCACATTGGACTACCCGTAGCGTCCTCCGTAGTGCGACCACGGAGGATATGTGGAGCTGAGGTTGGAGTGCAATGTGAAGGCTACGCCTTTTTATCATAGCCGTGTCAACAGCGTGATTGAACCCTGGCTGGTTTGGTTTACACCTCTTCCGCATACCGTATGTGCTGACACCAAGACGGTTACAGCCTGGACAAGCAAACCCTTGCATGTTGGCACCTTGTGTTCCTTGAAAAGGTCTAATTTGACGTAAAACACGAGGCGCGGGCCCTGTGCTTTGTGTCGTACAGGGGCTTGTAGCCTTTATATAGCCTGCCAAGTCCTGCTTTGCCAAGGACCCAAGCCAGCGGATTTAGCTCAGTTGGGAGAGCGCTAGACTGAAGATCTAGAGGTCGCTAGTTCGATCCTGGCAATTCGCAGGCTGCCAGCCTTCCTTGGAGGAGGAATACCTGTCCAAGGCTTGGGTCCCGCTTTTGCACCGCCCAGAGTGCTTGCGGTCCTTTTGCAGACCTTTTGCTGGCCGTCTTGCCGCCTCTTCGAACGGCCTACACAAAGGAGGCCAACCAAAAGGCGCAAACGGGATTAATCTCGCTCATAGGTTGCGACAAAGACGGCAGCTTGCACCATGAAACAGGGCTACAGGGGATGGGGCGCGTCTATGCAACACGGGGACATGTCGACACCCTGCAGGAACATGACATGTCAACATACCGCAAATACGGTGTAGGCACAACAAAGGAACATGTCGTCATGCCGCAGGATCATGTTGACGGACCAAAGGTACACCTCGATATACAGAAAGACAGAGGTGCAGTGCATCAATCTAACACCGCATGCACCATGCAATGACACACTAGCCTTTACGGTTACGCCCGCGACAGGCTTGTATGCATGCATGTACATACTGCATGAAGGCGGGTGCCGGGTCTTAGTGTGCCAGCCAGTTTGGAGGGGGGAGGGCGCATGGGGCTTGCGATGTTGTGCAGATCCACACGTGCGCCAGGCTAGCATGCATCTACAGCACGGTGTCACTGCACGTAACCATCCATGCATGGAACTATCACGAATACACGCGCATTCACACGTGGATGTGCCCGTGTGTGTATGTGCGTTGCAGTCTGTGCGGCGGCACTGCAGCGCAAGGAAAACACATACGCTCCAGGGGGTTGCATGGACTTCCAGGCAGCCTGCATGTGTTGATGCCTTGGTTGAACTTGGAGCTTGTGTGGATGTTTTGGAAACAAGATATCTGCTTGTGTAAACATTGAAAGGATAGATTTTTGAAGTGTGCTTTCTGGCCATGGGCACATCACCCAAATGCCCACCCTGCTTGATTGCCTGGCATCTCAACCAAGGACCATGCGCCTTGCCATCACCGGTTAGCCAACACATGCACACTCGTCGGGTGATTTAGAGTACCAGCAAAAGTGGACCTGGTCGATCGCCGTGCTAGCTACGAGGTTCGTTAGCAGGGGTGAAGTTGAGCGGCTTGCAGGTAGGTGGGGAAAGGATGGCCAGTAGTACAGAAGGGTTGGGGAAGAGGTGAGGTTTGTTCAATGTTTGGCATGCCGCCGAGCACATATGTTCTCGTATTGGATAGTAGTCGCATACAGGGTAGCCCCCAAGCCAGTAACATGGCGTAACGGCGGGGGCCGTCTGGACGTGTGAATCACAGTAGCTAGACTGCCAGGCAAGTCGGCCGTTTACCTAACATACGTTACACCACTCAGCGTGCACCTATGGCCTGCTTGGCATGCCTTGGCATGTTGCCTCCTGCCGTTGCGTCGCCATACACCAGCCTCAGCTGTGGGCGCGCGAACGCATGACGGTTGTCCATGCTTTTGCGTCCAGCCCATGTGCTCTTCCCTATCCCTCCAAGCTCAGTAGCACCTGCCGTGGCAGTGCACCATCACCTTCGCCGCCTTTGGAGGAGGAGTGCAGGTTGTGTCGCCGCAGTGGTAGAGCTGTTCCACATTGGACTACCCGTAGCGTCCTCCGTAGTGCGACCACGGAGGATATGTGGAGCTGAGGTTGGAGTGCAATGTGAAGGCTACGCCTTTTTATCATAGCCGTGTCAACAGCGTGATTGAACCCTGGCTGGTTTGGTTTACACCTCTTCCGCATACCGTATGTGCTGACACCAAGACGGTTACAGCCTGGACAAGCATACCCTTGCATGTTGGCACCTTGTGTTCCTTGAAAAGGTCTAATTTGACGTAAAACACGAGGCGCGGGCCCTGTGCTTTGTGTCGTACAGGGGCTTGTAGCCTTTATATAGCCTGCCAAGTCCTGCTTTGCCAAGGACCCAAGCCAGCGGATTTAGCTCAGTTGGGAGAGCGCTAGACTGAAGATCTAGAGGTCGCTAGTTCGATCCTGGCAATTCGCAGGCTGCCAGCCTTCCTTGGAGGAGGAATACCTGTCCAAGGCTTGGGTCCCGCTTTTGCACCGCCCAGAGTGCTTGCGGTCCTTTTGCAGACCTTTTGCTGGCCGTCTTGCCGCCTCTTCGAACGGCCTACACAAAGGAGGCCAACCAAAAGGCGCAAACGGGATTAATCTCGCTCATAGGTTGCGACAAAGACGGCAGCTTGCACCATGAAACAGGGCTACAGGGGATGGGGCGCGCCTATGCAACACGGGGACATGTCGACACCCTGCAGGAACATGACATGTCAACATACCGCAAATACGGTGTAGGCACAACAAAGGAACATGTCGTCATGCCGCAGGATCATGTTGACGGACCAAAGGTACACCTCGATATACAGAAAGACAGAGGTGCAGTGCATCAATCTAACACCGCATTGCATGCACACCAGGCATTAACACACTAGCCTTTACGGTTACGTCCGCGACAGGCTTGTATGCATGCATGTACAGAGTGCATGTCGGAGTGCAATGTGAAGGCTGCGCATTGTTCTGATGCCCCGCCCATGACAGCAACCAGCACCAAAGAGGATTTCGGCCATTCAGTCCGGTATACAACCACACACGGCTGGCACGGCACCCAGCCACTCCCGTCCGTAGATAGCGACCTTATATATTGGACGGCCCCTCTCGCAGGCTGCAATCAGTGTTGCGCTGCATCCCAGAAACAGTTCTTATCCGGATGCACTGACAGCATCTATCCACTTGAAGTAGAAGACTGGATGTCCAAACAACGAAACAAGTTACTTGGAAACCACTAGCCCCTTACACCACATGTATGCGCACCATATACGGGGACATGTGTGTGTATGTATGCATATTTGGATTTCTGAGCCGCGTTTTACGCATATACTTTCAATGCTGATGCCCGTGCAGGAGGCCCTCCGATCGGCCCCCTGAAGGGCTATATTGCATTGCGCTCGATCTGTATGGAATGACCTGTCAGCTGCACTCCGATTGTCCTCGGCCGTGGCCCATCCAGCTCCACAAGCATCAACGACTGTGGTAATGGGGTAGGTGTACAGGGCGGCAGCGGATCCACACAAGATACAGGGGATGTGTTGCCAGCAAGCTCAATCAAAAGCTAGCAGGACTGCATCCGGGAGCTGTACTTTAAGTTAATGACACCATGCACAAGCACTAGACCACTAGAGCTTGAGCCGCATCGCTACGTTAAGCGCTGAAGCCTCAACCCTTAGCAGCCCACTAACATGCCAACCTGAAGAGCCGATCTTGCGGGGGGCATGGTAGGCATGGCATCCCTACCCTCTGAAATGGAAGCTAGAAGCTGCCACAACTGCCCAGATGCCCAACTGCCATAGCATCCGGCCAAACCAAACCAGGCGCGGTCCCTCAGTTGCACGAGCTCTCTACCTCTGTGACTGCACCAATTGCGGCCTCTTACCTGCCACGTGCCGAGAGCCAGCTTTCCTCGCGTTACTGGCACTGTCAGTGTGTTGCCGAGTAGCATGCTCAGCAGGTGGCTATGGGCATTGCGCGGCTCCTGCGCGGCCCACGCCTCCCAGCCGCCAGGCCAGTCGGACGGAGCTGGCCGGAGGTGCAAGTCGTTGTGGAGGTAAGGATCGGCTGCCGGTGCGAGACGGGACAAGAACTGCGGACGGACAAGGTGCAACGGACGGCAGGTATTGGCGGAAGCGGGCACGGGAGAGGGTGCCCAAGCAGGTTGACGTAGATTTGGCACATGACCCGGGAGCCTAGCGGAGGCTGGAAAGTACGATGGTTCAGAGCGGGAAGTGCGATAGTCCAGAGCGGAAGCAAACTACACGGTTTCGGGAAGGTCGGCGCCTGCAACGGGGCGAACGCCATCAAAGCATCAAAGCATCAAAGTTGGGATGCACCGCAGGGTACCCAGCCATGCCGAGCCTGCCGAGTTTGGTATTGGCATCCTTATAAGATGAACTGGCGTTCAGGTTCGGTTGGGCGCAATGCGGAAACGGACTGGTATGTATGTTACTGTGGGTGAGGGGGTTTGCTGGGTGGCCTGCATGGGTGCATTATGCAGACCCAGGTTGCCAGCACTGTCTTCTGCAGGTACGCGGTACACGCACATGGGACAAGGACGTACATCTCAACAAGGCTTGCTTGTACGTGTCTCTTTTCTAGCAAGCGCCACATGCATACATCTGCCGCCTGGCTTAAAACAGGAGTAACGCCTAAACAGCCAGATTCCATTGGGTTGGACCGGCTACCGTAACTGCTGTACAAAGGAATCCTCGCCGGGTCGCCACCGTACTTCTGAGCAAGGACGTACCTGCCGTACATCGTCCATCAGCCGCGCCTCGTTTTCATTGATGGTCAAGGCAGTAGTGGTGTGGCGCGAGAGTAGATGCACGCAACCCTCTTGCAGTCCGACCTGCGTATGTACGAGCAGCAGGAACTAAGGCTGTACGAACCGCATGAACGAGGAATGAGCAATGCAATCATGCATGAGGAACACGCATGGACTTGCACGCCCCGCGAACTGTGCAGCAACGAACGGGTGCTTCCGCGTATGTACCCCATGGATTAAAGATGCAAGAGTTTGCTTTCTTTTATCTGGCCTCCTCCCAGTACCCTACCCAGTACCCATGCCCTGGCGCGCCCTACCTGCTCAACTAGCTGTCGGACCTGTGGAGTGAAGTCAACCAAGCTGATGCCTGGCGGTGTCTGAGGTACTTCAAGTTGGTAATACTGGTACAGAAGGGGTGAGGCAGGCGGTGGAGCTGTGGAAGCTGACACCACAACTGTTGTTATAGCGCCGGGCGGTAAGGAGGCAGAGGCTGTGCAGTGGTTGAGACGTGCGCCTCTAGGACGCTGGGCATTGGGGGCGTTGAAGGCCGGGCAGGACGCTCTAGACAGCCGCAAGGGAATGGACGCCGCAACGCCTAGATCGCCAGCCCTAGGCGCTAGGACAGTAGTAGGCTTTGGCCGCGAGTTTGTCGCTAGCATGTTGCAGCTGTTGCACTGGAATTGCACAGCGTTTGCTGTGCGCATATGGCAGGTTTTGCTTGTTAAGAACCCCAATGAGATTTACATATAGATGAGGACACAACGCTTGTGAATGCGTACCAGGAGTCCAACTCTGCTTTTCAGCATCACAGTACGGCAATTTATCTCGAGCTTGTCGGTTTGTCAGCATAGCAGTCAGAGCTGCTTGTGATCAGTATCTTGTCACTCTATCGCCGTCATCTCTGCATACTTGTAGACACCCGATTTTCTGTTGTCACACCACGTTGCCTTACAGACTCCTGAAAGCTCACGTGGTCACTTGTACGCCTGCTAATCAAGGCATGTCACTTGCTCTTGAAGCCAATTCTTAGGATATACTATCTAACGCTGTGGCAAGGACGTCATAAGACTGACGCAGACCTGGTCTACTTCTTTTGAATTATCTGCAGCTGCCAGTCGTTTACTAGGCCTGCCCCCCGTCGGCTATTGCTACGGCGAGCGGACACGTTTTCGTCAGGGCTGCGTTGTCGTCAACATTCCACCTCAGTGGAGATGCTGTGTCACTGGAGGCCTATACTTTAGCGGTCTGTCATCCAGCTGGACACTAAGATTGTAATTCACAAATTCCGCGGCCTTTCCGTTCGGTTTGCTGAAACTGAGTGAGTGGACGAGTCGATGGAAGGTGGAGTCCCCTCGCAGCAAGGCAGAAGCAACACGCTAGACCACGTCAGCGCCTCCAATATGCCTCCCTCAGCATCATCTCCTTCACAAACGCAGCCTCCCATGATGCCCCAGCGGTTCTCCCTAGCGGGCGCTCAGCCCATGCTACCCGGCCCCGCAACACAGCTCCTCCTACCTCCGCAGCACTTCTCAGGCAACCCCTTAGACCGGACCTACGACAAGCGTCTCAAGTTTGACGGGACGTCCAAGCAGGACGAGATCAGCTTGGTCGTCGTGGCCGGACGTGAGGTCTGCGTCCGGGAATCCTCAGGGGCTAGCACTTCCTCCCAGTCGGGTGCCTTCGGCGGGGCTGGCGGGGCGACCACCAGCGGTGGCGGCGCCAGCGCAACCTCGGGGGCAGACCTCCAGGCGCTGCTCCTCAATGCCACGGACCCAGAGCTTGACCTTAACAGTGACAGCATTTGCTTGTCATGGGTGTACGGTAGGTGCTGTGCGCATGGGAAAGAACCGTAAGGCGGATGTACGGGAGAGTGCCATTTCAGCATGGCGATTGCGCGCCGCCCCATCCGTGATCACGTATACCTCGTAAACCACCCCGGCCACACCCACCAAACCCGCCATCTCACCCATGCACCCTACACCTAGCACCTCACCCCGCCGCAACCATGCAGCCAATCAACACGGCCACCCCACCACATCTACTTTCACGCAGGTGACGCTGTCTACCAGCTGCCGCTCTACCTGTTAGGCCAGGACCGTACGGAGCGTTGGACGTTTGCGTTGGACGTGACTGACTGTCGGGAGGGCTTCCTGGAGTTCCTTCGGGACGCATGCGGACTGGGAACCGGGGTGGCTCTCACCGACCTGAGGGCGGCGCTGCCGCAGCTGTCGCGGGACGCGGCGGCGATTGCGGGGCAGGCTACTGCGCTTTCGCAATGGCATCAGGTGTGGAAGTGGGGGAAGGCGGGTCCGGGGCTGGTGGGGAGGGGTTTCGTGGGTAGCGTAGGGCTTGTAGGGCCATGCCACATCAGCAGGATGCCGGAGGCGTGAACGGCACTGAGCGGCCGTTGTTGAGGCGGCCCATGGTCCATGGTAAAGGCTACGGAGGCGTCTGTTGAGCACACGCAACCATGCAACCGCATGCGCCCCGCCCCCTACCCACCGGTTGGTTCCCTCCGACCCCCCATCTCCCACCAGAGCCACAAGTTCTGCCCCCGCTGCGGCAGCCCCACTGCCCCCGTGGAGGCCGGGTTGCGGCGGCAGTGCATCGCGGTGGCCACACACAAGCTCTACCCGCGAACCGATCCCGTGGTGAGTTGCTAGTCCCGCTCATCCTGTGCCATGCTAGCCACGCTAGCCCTACCATGCTTGTCCCTCTCGTCCTGTATCATGGTTGCGCAGCTGGCTTGGAGGGGTGGGGGGGGGGTGGAGCGTTGCTGGCTGGGTATGTGGCTAGCTGCCTGCATGGGTATGGGCAACATCACCATCTCCACTTCCAGCGACATCCCCGCCGCCTTACTTGTGCCTCTGCGAATGCCCCCGACCCTGACTCAAGACACCAACTCCGTTTCTCGTAGTGTCCTTGGCCCCCTGGCTCGTACGGACACGCTGTAAACGCGTACAGACTGTAACTGCAATTGCCTCCCCTGAGTGTCCTTGGCCCGCCTGGCTCGTACGGACGCGCTGCACACGCGTACAACAGACTGTAACCGTAACTGTTAACACCCTCCCTTGCTCGCTGCACAGGTGATCATGTTGGTGGAGTCTCCGGACGGGCGGCGGGCGCTGCTGGGGCGCAACAAGAAGTTCACTCCGGGCATGTACACCTGCCTGTCGGGCTTTGTGGACCAGTGCGAGAGCGTGGAGGAGGTGGGGCTGAGGCTGTGGGGGTATCGTTTTTATGGGGCATGGGCTGGGGGGCATGGGGCTGGGCAAGCTAGGGCGGCTTGGGGAGGAGGGCAGTCGGATGAACTTGTCACGCATTGTTTGGCGGCCTATGGGCACAGTACCAAGAGTCGACACGCTGTCGGTCGGTGCCGTTTGCCTGACTCCCTCCATTTCCTCTCGCCTGCACACCACCCCCAGGCTGTCCGTCGGGAGGTGTTTGAGGAGTCGCGGGTGCTGGTGGCAAGTGTGGCGGTGGTGGGCTCGCAGCCCTGGCCCATCGGGCGCTACGGCGGCTGCGAGCTGATGCTGGGCTGCATGGCCAAGGCGCGGAGCTACGAGGTGCTGGTAAACATGGAGGAGGTGAGGAGGAGGGAGAAGGACGAGAGGATGAGGGACGGGGTGGCGGTCAGGTCCCCTTAAGCTGCTTGGGGGCAGCTCGGCGTCGGGTGTGCATGATAGCCGTGATGGGCATGCGGGTATTGAATGATAGCATTATTGTTGCAGTATCGGTAGCATCTTACGCCATCTTCATTAGATTTATACGGGTTTGATTAGCAGCGGCTCATGGTCCCCTCACCTTTTCCAGATGGAGGATGTGCAGTGGTACGACAAAGAGGAGCTACGAGCCGCAGTACAAATGTACGACAATGCGACGTCGGCTGTGGACGGCGACGGCGTGGCTGATGTGCCCATGAGCGTTGCACAACTGCAGGTGGGTTAACTGACGGCGGTTATGACGGTTAGGCATGCAGTGGAGAACCTCTATGCATCTAGGGTTGTGGGTGACAATGTGGCTGAGATGGTAAGTTCCATCCTTGCTTTCCTACTCTACGTTTCCTGCACTCATTGGGCTCTCCATACTCCTTGCTCCATGGCTTGCACAAGGCATGCCCCGACACGCCCCCTTTCCACATCCAACCATTACCCACCGAACCACCCCTACCCCCTTCACATTTTCCACAATTCCCCAAACCTTGGCACCCCCGCCTATCGGAACTCCGTTGCTTCACTTTTCATTTAATTTCCCCCCGTTAACCCGCCCCCGCAGGAGAACTCCCTGGAGCAGCTGGGCTTCTTTATTCCCCCTCCGCTAGCCATCGCACACCACCTGATCCGCACCTGGGCCCTACACGAGGGACCCTGGTTCCCCGCTGGGCCGGGGCAGCCGTCCATGGCGGGCGCACCGCAGCCCTACTCGGTCGCTTTGCCGCCGATGGGTAGCCCGGGAACGGCAGCAGCAGCAGCGGCAGCGGGGCCAGCGGTTCAGCAGCAGCAGCCCCGGCAGAACGGCAAGCTTTGAAGGAGGAGAGGGGTGTGTGCAGAGGGTTGTGGCGAGGTGTTGAACAGCGCGGTTGTTAGGCAGCAACGGTTGTTGTGGATGGTGGTGTGTCGTGCGTTCTGGGTTGACCCTTTTAGGCGCTGAGGTTGCAAGCTCTTGACTTTTTGGGGAGCGGAATTGAAACGACGGCGCTTGGTTTTGTCTATAGGTTCGTAATCGGGTTGCCCTCAGGCGCAGCACGGTTCCACTAGTGGGCCATTTAGAGGTCGTCACTACGACGCAGATGGCGTCAGACAGTCGCTTGGACTGGTGGAAGCAGGAAAGGCTGTGTTGGAAAGCTATATCTGGAGATAACCAGTCATCAGCCATATGATGGGGCCGACTGTGGATGGAGTGGCGCATCGTGGTTCAGGAAGGCCTGCCTGGCTTTCATATCTCTTCCTGTCCTCCACGCCTCGACCTTTAATCGCCATGTACAGGACGTGAACAGGTTGATTTCTTGCATGGACCGGCCTTCTTTTTCCTCATATGTGTGTGTGCTTTCCTGTGCGCTTGTATATGCGTAATTTTGTCTTGTGCCGACGGCAGCTTGTGGGGATGCCCCTTCTCTTATCCGCAGCAGGCGCTATTTCGTTGCTGTTCCCAAGCGGCAAGCCGTTGACGTAGGGGTCATCACGCAAGACGTTGACTTGGGGGCACATAGAGATCGCTTGGTTGACCGTGCGCATGTTCTCTACATCGATCTGGTCATTAGAGAGTTCGTGCATGGTTCCTCCTAATTATGGAGCCAAGCCAACCCAGATAAGACAAGACACGAGAAACCAAACCGTCTCTCCCCTGTCATACATGCAGCACCTGCTCACTCACTTCCTATACGACGTGCCGTACGTTTGTTGCGTGTGTTTGCCATCTGCCGTACTCAGTCCGCAGCTGCAGAACCCGGTGTGTGGCGGTACTTGAAGCTGCGAGACGCATTGAAGCAAGGCGGGAGGGGCGATGTGGAGTTGGTGGTGGTGGCTGGCGCCGGTTGAAAGCAGCAGCCGGTCCGACAGGGTGTTGACGAGGCAATCCTTCTTTAGTGGCATGGTCGCATTATTCCTTGTCTGATACGGCGTTGTTGCTTGCGCGTACACATCTTGCTGGTCTCACATATGCAATCCTTACAAGAGGCGAAGGTGCGCCGGGTAGCTCTGCAGTGGTCGGTGTTTTCCGTGTCCTTAAGAGCTACCTGTCATTGGTTTGACTGGGTGGAGTTAATTTCCTTGCTGGGGTGCGTTGCGGACGTCATGCAGTGCGATTAAACCTCGTTGGATCTCAGGGCGGCGCTGACCGTGGCTTTTGAGGGGGGAGAGAGGTTAGTAGGCTCCGCAGTTGTGCTGTGAGATTCCTGCCATGCGCGCTTTGAACACACACGCACGCACATGCAGCGTATTGCTCAGGTATGTTGTGTGTTGTTCGTGGTCTAGGCTACGGGGTAGGTGGGGCTTGCCCAGCCAGCATTTGACTTGAGCTTCTGGTTGGCACGTTCACACGTTCACGGCTGGGTACGAATACGACAGTTAGGTACGGCAAGTCCGAATGAGGACTTGTTTTTGCTAGACTTGCTATTGCTAGGTTGCAATCGACAAGCTGGGTTCTTGGGATGGAATGTTGTCTGGCATTAGGCCACATGCCAGTACCGGTATTGCAGTGGGTAATATACATACGTCTTACTCGGAATTGGTTTTTCCATGGGAGTCCCCTCCTAGAATGACGTCGATGGCTAAGCTGGGAGCCCTCTGTCTAACCGGTATCTTCCCTGGGTACTCACCTGTTACTCATTGTTGGTTTCTACTGTAAAATCGGTCAACTGCCATCCCCCATTGTCCAATAGCGGGTGTGTCTGGGTGGGCTGCCAAAGCAACATTGGGGATTCCTGCCCTCCCTCATGGAGCTGACTCGTGAGATGTGGAGTCCAAATGCTGAGAGACATTACTAACAAGTGTAAGGCTCGGCACTCCGGGGCCCCAAGTCCCGCTCACATGTCCGACATAGCATGTGACAGTGTGGCATGGAGCAGCGCACTTTTGGCGGTTTCCAGGTTCGTGCCCAGAACAGCACGTGACCCATGGGTCATACATACATAACAACAGCCGTAAGAACCGCCGGCGTTCAGCAGGGCCTCGACATCGCTACCACGATGCTATTAAGTTTGATACTGTATGATATAAACCCACAAGCTTACGTACAACACCCGTAAACCCAGCATCGTTAGGCAGTTGCTGTATACAAGAATCACCCGCTTAGCGTGTGTTGCGTTCCAAGGCCTTAGCAACCCCATGCAAACGTAGAATCCCATAATGCGTCACATACGAGGTATATGTGCGAGCAAAGTCTGTGATCTGCTACCCTTACCATCTTCTCTTCGTAGCTAATAATAAGCCTGCCTCGCCTTCCTCCACATACAAGGATTACCGAGCAACGATAGCCTAGGACATGTCATTTGTTAAGTTGTGTTTGGATTATAAAACCCCGCACAGCAACGCATTCATACTTAAAAACGGCAACAGCAACAATATTTTGAAGGGAAGGTCCATGGCAAAGGAAAACGGAACAGTTGGCTAGCCCTCCACTGGCGCAGTAGCATTATTATATAGGTATATGTTGGCTGCCTAAGAACCTCTATGAGGCATCCGTTCCTGATGGCTCCTGATGTTTAAGACGCTAAAAAGGCAAGCCTTTTCTGTACTCCGCAGCCATCACCAAACGCCAAACGCAGCAACCAAAATGATGACTGCCATCAACTAAACCCATCTTCATTACTTTGTCGGATCCAACGAAAAGTCCATTCCGAAATCCCGCATGGCCTCATCGTCGGGCTTATCGAGGTCAAAGTCAATAAGCGCTGACCCCATCATAAGGCCCCCTGCGACACCGCCGGTACCGTCGCCGCCGATGCCGCCAATGCCACCACCGCCGACGCCACTTGCGTTCCCACCGCCACCGCCTCCGCCCCCAAGCACCATAGCATCCCCTTCTCCTCCGCCACTGGAGGGGGGAATCAAGTCTCCGAAACCCATAGGGCCCATACCAACGCCCAATGCCATTGTCGTCAAGTCCGAGAAGGAGAAGTTCTTGGCTAGTTCGGTTAGGTCACCGTTAGAGCCTCCAACGGTAACCCCCGAGGGACCCGCATCAGCGTCAATAGGGCCGCTGCCGCTGCCGCCTGCTGCTGCTACCGCCACAGCCCCTGCCGCTGCACTGCTGCTGCCTGCTACAGCAGCCGTCGGTGGTAGGGCTGCTACCAAACCCGACGGCGCCACCGCCGCCGTGGCGGCGCCGGTAGGTACGTCAGTTGTCGTACCCGTCATGCCCGCAGATGGGTTTGTCGTACTGTCCAGGGAGGATAGATTGAGGTTGAGGTGGAAGGCGCCTGAGCCCAAGTCGACACTCAAGCCAGTGCCCAGGCCGCCTGAAATACCCGCAGACCCAGCTCCGAGACCCAACGTTAAGCTGTGCATGAGGTCATGGTCCGAGCCTGCAGAGGTTCGGAGGCAAGTTGGGAAGTTAATGGTGGAGGTATCAAGGCAACAAGGGCCCCTACCTCACCCTGCCCCACGCCTCTGTAGCAAGAAGGGGTGCAAAACATTCAATCCCAACGGACCTTCACAGCATCCCTCGCCATGTTAAGTTGCAACCCAACCCAAGCCTCTGGGACATCCCAGCAACCCACCTCCCAGCAACGGCATCGCCAGGTCGCCCATGCCGCCGCCATCCAACGTCACGTCTGTCAACGACATCAGATCTGCCGTACCCGGAAACCCACCCGTAGCTGCCGCCGCCGCCGCCGTTGGCTGCTGTTCCTGCTGTGATTGTTGTTGTTGTTGCTGCTGCTGCTGCACCGCCGCCGCTGTTGCTGTCGCGCCTGGCGTTTGAAGACCAGTCATCGGCACCGCGGTGGCTGCCGCAGCCTCCCCCTGTGCTGCCACCGGCGGCGGCGGCGGCAACACGGCTGCTGACAGCGGCGCACCAAACGGCGGCAGAGATGTGGGCTGCGGGCCAAACGGAGGCGCCGTCGCCAGCGGCAGCGGCGGCGGCGTCAGTTGACCCGGCATGCCCACCGGCAGCGCTCCGGGCCCCCCCGCCGCGGCGGCGGCGGCAGCTGCAGCCGCCTGCCCCGCTGCTGCCATGCTCGCAGCTTGACCCGCGGCAGCGGCCGCCGCCATGGCTGCCATGCCTGGGTGCATCGAGGTTGAAGACATCATGGCCGCTGACGGCCCGCCGACACCCAGCGGGAAGGCAGGAAAAGGCGCCGCCGACGCCGGTGATAACCCCGGGGGCATCCCTGGAGGCATGAGACCCGGCGGCGGAAGCGTAGCAGCCGAGGGCATGAGAGCGGCGCCGGCGGGGCCCAGCGCGCCGGCGGCGGCGGAGCCGGGCATGCCGGGCGGTCGTACGGCAGCGGCGGCGGCGGCGGCCACGGCGGCCGCCGCCGCCATGCCCGGCGGCATCATGCCAGGCAGGGCTTGCATCCAACTCATCTGGAGTCTTTGCACCACATTGACTTGTTGCTCGAGCAGGTAGTTAAACATGACGATTTGGTCCTTGATTTTTAGCCGCAAATGGTAGGCTTTAAAGAACTCCGCATTCTGTGTGGGGCGGGTGAGCAGAGGGGCGGGTGTGAAGTACGACCGCGCTTCGACTTTATCAATCGTGACGGTCATGTGTCCAATACCCGGGCATTGGGATCCACGTGAGGCCCCCATCCGCCTCCTCTACCGGTATCTCCCATCCCCGGCCCCTCCTAAGTTCTAACCCCTGTCGCCCGTGGCCCCTTCGTCCCTCGTCTCCCTCACCTGCTCCTCCAGCTTCTGCCACACCAGCTGCGTGAACCCCGGCTCTATCTTAGCCTGGCTCTGCAGCGCCGCCACCACCTCCTTCAGCGGCATGTAGTTCTGCATGCAGCGCTCGATCAGGTTCTGAACCAGCTGGATGTCGGACGTGGAAACCTTGCGGCCTCCGCCGCCGCCAGCGGCGCCGCTGGCCGTGCCGGTGCGGCCGCCTCCGGCAGCACCGCCGCCGCCGGAGGCGGCGGCAGCGGTGGCAGCGGCGCCTCCGGCGCCGCTGCTGCTGCCGGCACGTCCAGCTGGCGGCAGAGGCGCCGCGGCCGCCCCATTGCTACTGCCTGAGCTGCCGCCCGTGGTCCCAACTGCCGGTGCTACTGCCGGTGTTGTTATCGCCCCTGCGGCGGTCGCAGGAGCGATGGCCGCTGCAGCGGAGGGCGCAGGTGGAACGGTTGCTGTGGCGGGGGCGGAGGCAGGGGCCTTGGTTCCGGCTGCGGCAGCAGCTAGGGTAGCGTCCTGAGAAGGGGCGAGGAGGGTGCCCTGTGCAGTGGCTGTTGCAGCGGCAGCAGCTGCTGCGGCTACTGCTGCTGCGGACGCTGCCGCTGTTGCTGCTGTTGCCATGTTTGGAGTTGGGGTTATCATTGACATTGGTTGCATGGCGTGGGAACTGGTCGGCACGCAGCCGAGAGGTTGCGTCGCCAAGCCTTTGCGTGGTGGAGAGGCAGAGGGAAAGGATGCTGGAATCCGCTTGTAGGCGCGGTCGACGAAGGATTTGCAAGCGCAGACTCAAGTTGACTAACTACTCAGATGTAGACGGCGGCCAAGGGGTTGACTGAGTCGTGTCGGCAGCGACGATGACGTTGGATTTCGCTCGTCCGCAGTATAATAGCGGAAAATGATCCAAGCGCTAGCACAATTGGGCGTGTCCCTACACAAGGGAGTCCTAGACAGTTGCCGGTGCCTCTAGGACGTTTGGATAGCCGCCACAACTTGTCTGTTCGCCGTCACAAACGCGGTCACGCCAGCTTGCTTTCGGCCATCGGCATATGCCACAGCATTTACCATTCTAACGAATTTCCTATAAACATTATAAGAAAATCATCGCTGGCCGGCAACCTACACTGTGCAAGCAGTCGTGTCGTGTCGCTAGCAAGGAAAATTACTACGTTCGGTGGGTCACAACATATTTTTGAAAAGCACTCTCAATTGGATTTGCACATATATAAAACATCGGCTGCAATTGGCTATGCGCAAGGCAAGCAGGTTGCACTAGGTTTCGCTTAGGACCAGAAAGCCGCTAGCAGCTATTCAGATACCCAGGATCAGCTACAGGAGCCTAAGCGTAGTACTAGTTCGCGTGTTCGCGGCTCTTTGCCATCCGCCACACGAAGAACTGGTACGAGGGCGTCGTACACAGAAAGTTTCCCGCGTGTTGCTGCCGAGCTGCAATTGAGCGTCGCTGCTGTTTCTATAGATTTGGTCATTCGCGAACAAACTACGTTTGTGCTCAGTTTTCCCTTTTGGTAGCCCTTCGAGACTAAACAGCTGAGATCTGGAGAACGAGTCTTCCGACAAGGGGTGTTCTTGCGACCCAGTAGGGCAGTGTCTGAAATAAACCTACAAAGATGTCGTCGGTAAAGACTTTGAACGCAAATGCGGAGGTCATGAACCGGGCCGCCGCGCTCTTCATGAACATCAACGCGGCCAAGGGCCTCATGGATGTTATGCGATCGAACTACGGTCCGAAGGGCACCATTAAAATGTTGGTTAGTGGAGCTGGCGATATAAAGCTTACCAAGGACGGGAACGTTCTGCTTCGCGAGGTGCGCGCCAGAATCGCCCCGCGGCCCGCCCAGCTATACGATTATAAATAAGCATGTATGACGTAATCATCGATCTAAATGTGTATGCTGTCATTATGCACTCTCTGTGTGCGGAAGCTCCTGCCTGTGGCCATCCCATGGCCGACCGCTCCGCGGGCAACAACCTCATCACCGTCTCTCCCTCTCCCACCCTCCTCCCACTCTCCCCAAACCTCCACACCACAGATGCAAATCCAGAACCCGACCGCGGTAATGATTGCGCGCGCCGCGGTGGCTCAGGATGACATCACTGGCGATGGCACCAGCTCCATTGTGCTGCTGATCGGCGAGCTGATGAAGCAGGCGGAGCGGTACCTCTCGGAGGGGACGCACCCGCGTGTGCTCGTGGAGGTAAGGGGTCATCAGTGAGATCGCCCGGGGTAGCGGGGTTGGAGGTGGGAGAGGAACAGGGACAGGGTGTGGGCTGTTGGAGGTCGGGCGGGGTGTGGGTTGTAGGAGAGGCAGGAAAGGTTGGTCCCGGAGGCATAAAAAGATATGATGAGACACTGACGAAGCAACTCATTGGGGGCTGGGTAGGCGCTGGATGTGTGGGCTGTTGTGAGGGCTGGAGGTTTAGAGGGGGTCATGTGCCGCGATGGGAGAAGAGTAAGAGTGAGGGCGAGGGGCTGGGGGCTGCTGTTGTACTGTTGCCTGGTGGGACATGTTGGAGGCCGCACGCGGTGGCAGTGGTGGGCCCTGTGCGTGGGAGCTTGACGGGAGATTCACGGAGGGGAGGGGGGCTTGAGGGAACTTGCTTGAAGGAACTGGTGACCGGCCACTGGTCACTGGGAGGTGGCGGGTGGGAGGGAAAGGAAGGAGGCGTGCTTCCCACGGGGTTGGGTCTCCGGAAAAGACTATGTAGTCGCATGGCAACGCTGTGTCCGGGGCTGAACAGGATGCTGGTAGGCTGGCCGGCAGGAGTCCTTGGGCGAGTGCATGCGGGGCAGTTGGGGAGGGGGGCTCTTGCATGGCATGCGGGGGAAGGATTTATCGGGTGTAAAGATGGACAAGGGCGGGTGGGTGTGTGAGTTGATCCCCTCTCCCCGACGCTGCATCCCTCCCTCTGCCTTCCTCCGGGGCATGGGCCGACCACCGTGTTTGTACCCCCATGCCGAAGCCTACATGTCACACAGCCCGTCAGTTGCCTTGTCCCGTTTCCTTATTCTTACCCCACCCCTCCCCCTCCCCCTCCGCCTCCCTCCCATCCCCCCCTCAGGGCTTCGAGGTAGCCCGCAAGGCGGCCCTCGAGTTCCTGGACACCTTCAAGCAGCCCCTCCCCACCCCCCCAGCCGCACCCGCCTCCGAGCCCTCCTCCTCCTCCTCCGAGCCCGCGTCCGCCCCCCCGGTGGACCGCGAGGTGCTCCGCTGCCTGGCGCGCACCTCGCTGCGCACCAAGCTGGCGGAGGGGCTGGCGGAGCAGCTGACGGACATCGTGACGGATGCGGTGCTGACGGTGCGGCGGCCGGGGGAGCCCATCGACCTGTTCATGGTGGGTGGGGGTAACGGGGGGGGGAGGGTTGGGGAGAGAGGGGCCCGGGGAGATGGGTACGGGGGCTGGGAGTGGGGGAAGAGGTGAAAGCCCTGTGTGAAGAGTGAGGTCTAGGGTGTGCCGCGGCTTGGGCGTCGGGGCAGCCCACTTTTCATGTACCCCTCCCCCACCCCCTTTCCATGCACCCCCCCTTTTCGCCCCCCCCCAGGTTGAGATCATGCACATGCGCCACAAGCTGGACTCCGACACGCGGCTGGTGCGGGGGCTGGTGCTAGACCACGGGTCGCGGCACCCGGACATGCCCAAGCGGCTGGACAAGTGCCACATCCTGTCGTGCAACATCAGGTGGGGGGCGAGGGTGGGGGGAGTGAGGGGTGATGAGCTCTCAGGGTAAAAGGGGCGCTCATGCAGTGCCAGGTGGAAGGGGGTGTTTAAGAGGAGGAACGCATTCTCCCATCTTCCCTAGTGCCCTCTAGCTCCATTCTGCCTTTACTGTTTTGTTCGTTCCCTGCTGGTGTTGTTGTTGTTGTTGTTGTTATCGCTGTCGTACACTGCAGTCTGGAGTACGAGAAGAGCGAGGTGAACGCGGGCTTCTTCTACAGCTCAGCGGAGCAGGTAGGGGGTGTGGGGGGATGGGGAGAGGGGGAGGGATGGGGCAGGGGAGGATGGAGGTTGGAGGTTTCATAGGAGGAAGGGTAAGTGGCACACTGTTTCTCGGCATGCCTTGCACGTAGTCGCTCAGCCACGGCGACATTCGCTGACGCGACGCCTGGATGCCTGGATCCCCCACTTAGCCAGCGCCAGCCCTCTTCCCGCCCTCCCAACTTCTTACCCACCCTAACATTGTCTGTGACGGCCCTCAAAAGGCCCACCATGTAACATCATGATCAGCATCAGCATCAGAACACCTCGCCTCCCTCCCCCTCGCACCCCCCCCCATGCAGCGTGAGAAGCTGGTGGCAGCTGAGCGCGCCTACACGGACGAGCGGGTGCGCAAGGTGATTGAGCTCAAGAAGCAGGTACGTGAGGCGTGGCAGGAGGGCGGGGGGGCTTGCGGGCAGGTGATAGAAAGAGGAAACTGACGAGCATTATGACGAGGCTTCGCGGGTGGGGACTGGGACTCCGGTTGCTGCACGTATCATCCAAGTTTTCACCCCTCTGGCCCCGCTCCCATGGCTCGCCCCCCCCCGCCCAGGTCTGCGGTGAGGACCAGGGTTTCGTGGTGATCAACCAGAAGGGCATCGACCCCATCAGTCTGGACATGCTGGCCAAGGAGGGAATCATCGCGCTGCGCCGGGCCAAGAAGCGCAACATGGAGCGCATCCAGCTGGCCTGCGGGGGCTTCTCGATCAACTCGGTGAGCGGGTGACCCGTGGGTCGGGAGGCGAACAGGGATGACCTCTGGGTCGGTGTTGGTTCGCGCGGGGTGGGTTGTGATTAAGGAGCGCAACATAGAAAGGAAAAAAGAGTGGATGACCCATGGGTCGTGATCGATGGACGCAACGGGCCCCGCCCGTACTCTCGTTTCCTCAACTATGTCTGCGCCTTCCTAACCCTCCCACCCCCCATCCCCACTCTGCCGCCCCCTTCCCCGTTGCTTTGCCCTACCGTTTAGTTCCCTATGCTTTGCTATGGTTTATAACCTCCCGTCCCACCTGCTAACCCTAAAACCCTTCACGTTCCATTTATCCCCCCCCCACTACCCGCCCTTCGCTGCAGGTGGAGGAGCTGTGCCCCGAGTGCCTGGGCTACGCGGACGAGGTGTACGAGCACGTGCTCGGGGAGGACAAGTACACCTTTGTGGAGGGTGTACGGCACCCGCACTCGTGCACCATCCTCATCAAGGGCCCCTCCGACCACGTCATCGCGCAAATCAAGGACGCGGTGCGGGATGGTCTGCGGGCCGTGAAGAACGGCATCGACGACGGCGCCGTTATCCCGGGTGGGTGCTGAGCGCGGCTTTCTCGCCACCTACTTGCATGCATGCATGCATGCAGCCGCATGTCGATTCTCGACGTGCCTCTGTTGACACCCGGGACGCGCCCAGCAAGATCCCCGGTTCTCCAGCCAAATCCAGAATTTTCAACCTCCCCTCCTCCCCTCGCCCTCCCCTCTCTCCCCACCGCAGGCGGTGGTGCCTTCGAGGTCGCCGCCGCACACCACCTGCGCACCGTCACTCGCAAGACCGTGTCGGGTCGCGCCAAGCTGGGTCTGGACGCCTTTGCGGAGGCGCTCACGGGCCTTGCCAAGGCGCTGGCCGAGAACAGCGGTCACGACCCGCAGGAGGCGCTGCTGGCGCTGCAGGAGGAGCACGAGCGGGGCAACGTGGTGGGCTTCGATGTGGGCACCGGGGAGCCCATGGACCCCAGCACGGCGGGTGAGAGAGGGGAGAGGGAGCGGGGAGGAGGAGGGAGGAGAGGGAACGGGGAGAAGGAGAGAAGGACAGGAGGTTGAGGCGGAGCGTGCTGGTGGCCACCTCCTCTCAGCAGCATGACACGAGCCGATCGTGTGTGCTCTCCCACACACACATGCCTGGACCACTTACGAATCCGCCACCCCCCACCCCCCTCGTCTCTCGCCATGCACACAGGCGTGTACGACAACTACATCGTGAAGCGACAGATCCTGCAGTCCGCCCCCGTGCTGGCTGGGCAGCTGCTGCTGGTGGACGAGGTGATGCGCGCCGGCATCAACATGCGCAAGCAGTGAGGGGGGTAATGATGCAGCAGGGGTGATGCAGGGGTGGTAACAGGGGTGATGCAAGGGTGGAGGTTGGCAGTGAGGAAAGGGGAGGTCGGCGAGTCCGCAGAGGGGCGGGGTGGTCTAGGGGTCAGCATGCGCTAGTAGTGAGGAGGAGGAGAAGAAGGGGGAGGAGAACAAGGGGTGAGGGAAGGCATTTAGGGGTCACACTGCATGTACGCAGGCTGCGAAGGGATGATGACGTGGAGGTGAGGGGGAGATAGGCAGCAGGTTGAGGCGGTGATGGCCCTGAAGGGACGTGGAAGACGTGGTGTCTGATACGCGCAGTTGTCCTTGTGGAGGAGGCGGAAGGAGGTTTTTGGAGGCCTATGGATGCTGACAAGAGAGCGGGGGAGAGGCGGTGAGACAGCAGGGGCGTGCGCATGTGCGGGAGGGGGGGGGGGGTAAAGGGTTGCCTGGAGCTGCAGGGGTCGGACTTCGTAGGCTTTACAGTAGCAGCCGCAGAGGGAACAGCTGGTACAGCAGACGAGGTGGATGCTGATGTATTGGGGCATGTAGGCATAGCACCGGCGACAAACGGCAGGGAGCAGGGAAGTGGGGTTCAAGCACGGGATGCAGGACGTGTTCCTTGTCAGCGGGGAGCAGGTTACCTTACCCGACTGGGCCTCTGTTGGGCGGTGCATCCGGTGCCTTCTTTCTGCTCAATGTCCTGCTTGTTACGGCAGAGCTGGCTTCGGACAGCAGCGATGTACGGGCTGTTGTGCATGAAGTGTGGTTGTTGAACGCGCGCCATTGCGCAACCGCAGGTGTAATCGAAATCCGCTTTCTTCGCCCTTTTCCTTTTGCACGATTAGCTCAGCATCTAGCATTGGCACCTGCTGACTACAAGCGCCAAAGCTCACGTGCAGCATTTGACGGTAGCCCAGCCCGTATACCAATCCACCCTGTTTCAGGTCAGTTGTTTCCTCTTAACCCTGTTCTCATCCTGAGTAGGGGCAGAGTGGGAGACTTGGATGAGGATTGATGTCATCAGCAACTGAAGAGCTTACTTTTACAGTCGCAGCCATGAGCCATGGCGCTGTGCGTATATCGTTTCATGCACCGCCGGCAACCGAGATGATGGCGTCCCTCTGTTCACCTCCCCCGACGTAATACAAACATAACTATCCAAACACTAGAAACCCAAGACGCTTCCCGCCACAACCGCTCACATGTATAGCCATGTCCTGGTTTGTCATGCATGCATGGCAAACGAGCGCCCCGCGGAAAAACACCCTTCCTTGCAAGCAATCCTTTGCCCAACAACCCCATGCCTAACAAACAAAACACAATTCGATGCGTGTACTAAATAATACTAAACCACGAGACATGACTAGTAGGTCTAACCACACTTGGTTGTTAAGACGTGTGGTGTATGTTGGTAAGAGCCTGTGGTCCACACGATACAGCAAAACGTACACACAGATAGACTCACGTCGTCAGGCAGATTACCGTTGTACGACAGTGTTCGTACTACTCGTCTCGCATGTCAACCGCCGCGCCGAATGCAGGCAGTCTTCCGTCACACCTCCGTCATGTCGCAATACCGCACAGCCGTCAGAATTTCAAAACCGAGGCGCAAAGCCACACGCCGAAGGCACATAATAAACATCCAAACATCCCTCAGGCATAGCCCCTGAAGACACACCAACGGATAAAAGCATGTATGCAGCAAAACAACACCGCTGCAAATGTTCCACAAGCTCAGCTTATGTAAGGCTTGCTTGTGTCATGAGACCCCAACCCAGCCATGCCAACCTGCGTCCCTTTCCCCAATACCGCCACTTGGACGCCCCTTTACAAGCCAGCGGCGCAGCCAAAGCGTGAAAGCACCATCTCTCGTCTCTGGCTTGGAAACGCTTCTCATGATCCGGCGGCGGTTCCAAATGGGGTATGGGGCTTTGCACAGCCCACGTGTGCATTAGGAATCTCCCAATCAGTAGCCTTAACAACGCCATGATAAGCCCCAAGTAGCAGCTCCAACGAGACACCGAGATAATGTGCTTGAAGGGCAATGCAGGTACAACCAGCCGCCTTTCCATCATCACCTAGACCACCCGTGCGAGTCTACTGCGCAACACAGGGGTTTGTTGGTCTGCCGCCAAAGACAGCGTACTCGTATATGTATTTATGGTACAAGCACCGGTGTGGATCCCAACCACAGGGTGCAAACAAAAAGAGTCAAGGGCGCAAACAAAAAGAAGGCCAAGGGTTCAGTAAACACACTGAGGCCCGAAGGGGCCCACCATGAGGCCCTACGGGGCATGGCAGTAACCCGGTAAAGCGGGCCGGCCATTACTACCTTACTGAACCCGTGCAGGAAACACCCTACGGCAACACACCCTAACCGTCAGGGTCAGGGTCAGTGCTTCCGCGGCTCAGTTTACCTAATACCCTAAACGTCAACGTCTTAGACGGCAACAACGAGTACTGTGACAACCATGAAATCCCTTGCTGCTTCCTTGAAAACAGATCGGATAAGAGTGATCAAAGTCCCAACTCCGAATCCGACATGCAGCTTCCTCACAAACCCCAGTTGTGGACCCCAGTTGCCTCTTCCCACGTGCCTTCCGAGCTTCAACTAACGAGCTACTTGCGTACCGGTAACAACCACAAACGGATCCCGCGCCTCAGCCCTGCTGCAAACCACCATCCAGTCGGCACACAGCAGAGCTACACCTGTTTTCCCATGTGACCTCTTCAACTCTCTCCACACAGCGACCCAACATGCTTAGTGCCGTACTCTCCTTGTGAGGGCCCTCACCCAGCAGGCACCATGTAGCAACAAAGCACGTCACATCACATCGCACCACATCACACCACACCACAGCGAGTCTCCAGCCCAGTCTCAACATCCGGTCCGGGACACGCGCGCTATGAAGGGGCCGTACGACAACGGGACTGAGAGGAACAACACCCAGCAGTGTGGTTTTCCGCAACAGCAAGAGTAATGGAGGCCCAAGACCCGCCCTCAGATCAACCCACGTTGGGAGACATTTACTCAACTGAAGATACTAGTGCAAGTCCGTCACTACAATGCTGAAGACAAAAGACACAAACGAGGCGCCTATAACGCACAGACCTCGGCCCATACCTCAGCCACGACTTCCCCCCAACACCACTGCCGCGATCCCGCCACCAACACACCCGCGCTTGCAGAGCATCAACACATCCTGGTATCTTCATACCTTTCTGTTGTGTCTGTTGTAGTTCTGTTGTGTCACAAACTCAAAAGCAGCATTCGTGCTGCTGCTGTCAACACCTGTCCCAGCAGATACACATTTGACACCTGTCCCATCACATAGTCACCTGCATGCATGCATGCAAAGCCAACGGGCCAAGAAAACTAGGAAAGTAGACGACCCAAGTCACACAAACTCGATCTCCCTCCTCCCCAACATACTTCCTCCCACACCCCGAACACAGCTCCTCCCAACTCCATGGCGAGACTCCCGCACTCGATATCCCAAGATCGGCGTTTCTCCTCTTTCAGTTCTGGAAAACTAATGCTTATGCACAGCGTATATCACACAAGGGGATGATATGGCGGCCGGCAGGTGTGATACCCGCGGCCTTGCACGCGCGCACACATGAAGCCTCCCTCACCCCAAGTCCGCTGCAACGCCGCCCAGAAACCGCTCAACAGAACGATACAAGGAAGAATACCCGCCTTCTACGTAAGGGTGGCAAACACTTACCAGCCGCCCCCCAACGAAGCCGTCACCAACGTTGCTACATGTCCAGGAACACGATGCCCGTTCGACACTTCTCCCACGCCGCCTAAAGCAGCACACAACGCCATCCTCATTCAATCATCCTTTTCATGATAGAAGGCATCGCGCTTGAAGAGCACAATGGCAACCCTCATGTGCCCCAGCCCGCGAGGAGCAGAGGCGAGACGCAGACACAGGCCGGTTAGGCCGGGAGCGGAGGTTCACAAGGACTGAGAGCAGGACTGGAGACAGACGGCGAGAACGGCCTACTGCCCCTACTTCTCCTTGCCTCCTCCCTGCTGCTCGCCACCCCTGCTGCTGCGCCCGGAAACAGTCTTACCGCTGCTGCTGCCAACGCCACCCCCACTGCTGCTGCTGCTGCTGCCCCTGCCACCATCCTCGGGGGACCCCGGCAGGTGCTTCAACGCACCCGCGGCTGGCAGGCATCCCAGCGCCTGTCGTACAGCCTGCAGGCGGGTCTCCCAGCTGCATGCGTGCGTCCATGCAGGATGGCGCAGGAGGGAAGGGGGAAAGGGGGAACGTGTGAGGGGTGAACGCGCGGAGTGCAGCGGAGGACCGGCGCGGCAGGAAGCCTTCACTGCGGTTCGGATCGCAAGGCATGCATGCGGTGAACCAACGAAGAATGATGGAGTGAAGGGCTAAGACTTCCCAACCAAACCCCAGATTGTCCAACCACCACCACCACCACTCGGCCCCTAGCAACCCCCCACACCACCCCCACCCACCCAAAGGGGCTGTTATCCGCCGCATCGAAGTCGATGGGGTCGTTGCGGCCCCACACCGTGTACGCCAGCGCGGCGGTCACCATGAAGAAGGCACTGCAGGGGGCCGGGGGGAGGGGGGCGCGGAGGAGAGGGGGCGAGACGTGGAACGGGAGGTTGGTGACGCGGAAAGTATGGGCCAAAGCATGACCTACTAACCACCCCACCACCCCTCACATGTGGCAAACCACGATGACGGCTTACCACACGGCCAGCTAGTTGTTTCCTCTTTACCCCTCTACCCGCACCCCCTTACCTGGGCAGGAACAGCGCTGCCTCCCAGCTCTGGGTGTGTTCGAACAGGTATCCCACCGCCGCCACCCCCAGCACCCCGGGGATGGCGGCGGTGGTGTTGGTGAGGCCCAACAGGATGGACGCGTACTTGGGGCTCATGTCCTGGAGGGGAGGAACAGGAGGAGGTGCGGGTGGGGGGCGGGGGCGGGGTAAGGAAGGAGGAGAAATAGGAGGCCCACCGGCACCCCTACCCCTCCTCCCTCCTCCCATCCCTCCGATATACTACGATCAGGGTCAGTAATCCCCCCTCCCCTCCTCCTCCCCGCCCCACCTGGTGTGTGCAGAACAGCCCCGCCAGGCTCCCGCTGGACACCCCCAGCGCCACCGTGATGGCCGCCACGGTGGCGCCGCTGTCGTCGCCGACGGCGGGGGTGCAGGCGGCCAGCAGCAGCGCGGTGGGCAGCAGGAAGGCGGTGTTCTGCATGGGGGAGGGGAGGTGGTGGAGGGCGGAGGGGAGGGACGTACAGTGTACGGACAGGGCGATGGGAGCTGTGTAGGGAGGAGGTGTAGGGCGTGTGCGAAGCAAGGGATCCGGACAGCAGCAGGGCGTCCTCACCCTCTGCTATCCTCCACTACCCGCCGTTCCTTGAACCTCTGCTATCTACCATTTCCCCGACTGCCCTTCCCTCTCCTTCCCTCACCTGCACCACCTTGCGCACCCGCGGCACCGGCACCCCCCGACTGATCGCCGCATCCGCCGCCGCCCCCGCCGCCGCGCCCGCAGCAATGCCCGCCAGCGGCGGCAGCAGCGCCGTCTGGGAGGCGTGCAGCAGGTCGACTGACAGCGTGTCCACAAAGTAGGTGGGCAGCCAGGCCAGCATGGTATAGTGGAACCAGTTGTTCGCGAAGTGCGTGAAGGCCAGGGCGCGGACGGGCGTGGAGCGCAGGAAGGCACGCCAGGGCAGCGGAGGCGGCGAGGGTGCTGCTGTGGGTACTGATGCGGAAGACGGTGCAGCAGCAGCAGCAGGTGATGATGATGGTGGTGAGGTTGGTGGGGTAGATGAAGAGGCAGAGGAGGAGGTGGAGCTCAGGGTGCGGGAATCGGAGATGAGTCTGGCAGCGAATTCCGGTTCGCGTTGCTCGATATCCGCCATGATCCCCTGTTCGAACCACAACCACCACACACCGCCCAACGCGCCGAAGCTGATGAACACGGAGTGCCAGCCGGCGTGCGCGATGAGCCAGGGCGCAGCCATAAGGCCCAGAATGGAGCCGACGTGGAAACCGGAGAAGGTGAAGGTGACGGCTCGGGCGCGCTCGCTGGGCGGTACGGCACGAGCGACAATGTCGGTTGCGGCGGAGGGGGCGGTGGCCTGGCCGAAACCCACCACGGCTCGGGAGAGGCAGAGGCCTGAGGGGTGTGGTGGGAGAAGGTGGGGAAGGGAGGTGGTGGTGGTTAGGAAACAGGTGACGCAACTGACAGGAGTGTACGACATTACCAATGGGGCTCACACACACCTCCTCTTCGAAGTTCACATTACGTTCCGACTCGCGGCCAGTTTTCCTGACACGCTCTGGGACGTCCCACGGGTCAAAGAGTCGTGGTACATGCAAGTTGTCGCCAACCGAGAACCGCCACATGCCATCCCGTACAGCAACAATGGCTGTGCCGTGCCGTACGACAACTCCTGCCCTCACCTGGGATGGTGGCAGCAACCCACGGTACGACAGCCGTGGCCGCGCTGTACAGCAGCGCGCCAGCGGGGAGGATGCGGCGACCGCCGAGCCGGGAGTTGAAGTAGCCGCCGGGCAGTTGGCAGAGCATGTAGCCCCAGAAGAAGGCACTTTGCACGAGACCCACTGTGGTTGGGCTCCAGCCGTAATCGCGAGCCATCGGAATGATGCAAACCGATAGGTTCACTTTGTCGAGATTGCAGATGACAAATGAGACGGCTGTGCCGAAAATGATTTTATAGCGGGATGGCATATCATCCCACCAGGCCCAGACGGGAGAGCGGCTGGTGGTGCTCGCGGCGCCGCTTGCGTTTGCGTTGCCGCTGACTGCGTCATGATGAGCGCCGGAGTTGACATGGGTGTTCCCGTTGGCCGAACCCGACGTCGTGTCAACTGGCACGGCGACAACGCCACCACTCGAAGGATCGGGTCGTCGAATTACGCGCCTCGGGCGGGTTATCCTTACAGTCCTGCCTTCGCCATGGTGGCCATGCCTGCCGTGCGCTGTCAGCAGGTCGCCAAGTCCAGCTCTCCGGCGGCCAAGGGCGACGATGTTATAGCCGCTAAGTACAGCCGATCGCTGGGGCCAGTAGGATACTTGTTGCAGGCTGCAACTGGCGGTTTGTGACCGGCACCGCGGCAGCCCACTTTTTATGCTGCAGCCCGACGCCGAACTGCAGGGTAGCTGCAAAGACATATTACTCTGAAGTAGTAAAGATGTTAGGTAGACGTCAGGTAGTAATGAGAGGTTGTGGGAAGTTGGCCTCGGCCAATCCTCTCGTCAAGGCCGCAGCCACAGACTAAGAAGACCAGCCTAACCTTCGCAATGTACAAACGTGTCACTGTCACAATTAGGCAGGGACTTTGCAGGCGTACGCACTGTCGCCCATCAATGGCTGTGCGGAGCACTGAGTTACAAAGGCGGTGCGTCGGTAGTAGTACGGTTGTATGATAAATAGGTGAGCAACTTGTATGTGGTGAGCTCAAGAGAATTAGGCGTATCGAAACCGAAAAAGTCGTTGGAACCTTTGCGCTGGCGTGTAACTGAAGCCCCAAGAAGCTGCAGTTCCCCAAATCTATGCATTCCGCAGAGGGCTAGCAGCTTCATATACTCGTCGACATCCGGCAAATCTCCGACAATTGCAGCAAGATAACTCGAGTATGCTAACGCTTACACATGCAAGTGATGTCGAACTTGATGGTGGGGCTAAGCATAACCACAGGCACTTAACTTCCGAGCGTCGATACCTAACGTCCATTTACAGTGATGTTATGCCGGATGACGCATGCAATCCGACCGGGTACTAGTAGAGCGGACAACCGCATGTGACTTGAATCACACAGCCATTAGAACCCGAACGCAAGCCAAGGGAACATTGATTCTCACCTACTCCAACCCGTATCGAATGCATACCATGCTTAGCTCGCGTACTTGCCGCCAACGGAACGCTGCGGGCTGCCTAGTCCAGAACACACAACAACGTCCTCACGAGCGGCCACAGATTAAGGTACAGGTGTGCTGCAACAGCCAGCGCGCCTTACAACGACCAAATGAATGCTTGCGCTAGTCACTTTGCCACGCTGTCACTTTGCCACGCTGTCACTTTGCCACGCTGCATCATGCATCTCTACCGAAGCGACCGTAGCATGCCGGCTGTAAGAAGTGTGGAAGCTGCCGAACGTAAACCCAACATAGTGCAAGCTTGCAACTGAATGGGGGGATATACCACGGTGTCGCCTCCCAGCGAGCCGGATACCGTTCGACGGCCTTTGACCGCCCGCTTCAGGTGTCCCATGGGTCGGGGTAACCTCCTACGTCAGGCAATACGAGGTTACTGTGTTGCAGGAGCCACCGTTTCAGTCGGGTTTTGCATGGCTTGATGAGTCACACACCTGTATACCGTGTATACCTTCCCAAGTGCCGTGCGATGCCGTACATTACCGTTTCAGTCAGGCTTTACATGGCTTGATGAGTCGTATACCGTAAGCCGTAATTCTCCGCATCAAGAGCCATCACCCCATAAATGAAGAACTCACTTACAGGTGGGAGATCATCCGCCATTGACCTGTCGTCGAACTATAATCGCGCAACCTGCCTAGCCCGTCATACACCCATAACTACGTACGGCAGCTGTTTCCAATGTTGGCACTACACGCCCCACCGTCAGCAGCACACCGCTATCTGCAAATTCCACGCCTTCGCACCCTTTACTACCAAAGCAATGCCCAACAGAGAGGGAATGCACCATCACTCCTGCACCAAACCCCCAGAGTCCATCCTGCATTCCTTCTACCGCTGATCCATGCACTTCAGTGCGCACGCCACATACGCTGTACTATTGAGAGGAACGTATCTTGCCATGCCGGGTTGCATTACACGCTGTGGTGGGTATCTTACATGCTTCCCTGCTGCATGCAGAATGGTAACCCGCAGGTGGGAAGAGCAAGGCTTTCATAGTCGTCAGCAACGCACAGACGCATAGCCTTCCATGTGCCGTACAAGATGCCGTACAATTGCCGTTTACAAGCCACCACGCAGAGCGAGCACCTGTGCATCCACAGACAGTGGGGACGGGGGACGGGAGGACAATGGGTAAGAAACGAACCACGGGTCACGAGTGCGCTGCTTGAGAATGGCTCACTCACGCTTGGCAAGCAAGCACTGCCCTGCAAAACAATCCATGTGCGCAGCCCTTTCCCGTCTCGTTCCGTCCCGCTACTCGCTCCCAGCATTCTGGCGCAAGTACCTGCCTCTCCCTCAACCACAGCCTATTAGCCCCTGCCCTCCTCCTGGACCGTGTTGTTGCACTTATTTATAATTTTCCCCACCCGCCCGCCCCCGCCCAACCCCACCAAGTGCAGCACGGAGCCTCCCTCGATGTTGTAGTCCTTGGCCTGCTTGTCGTCGTTCATCTGCTTGCCCGCAAAGATGAGGCTGCGGGCGAGAAGGAGAGGGCGGCGTGCGGGGGCAGCGCGGTTGGCGGTGGTGTGGGCAACGCTCTCGTACCAGTGCGCTAAAAGGAGATGGGTGAGGCGGGTGCAGGTCAAGTCCCTCACCGCTTTGCTGCACTGGCGGAATGCGGCCCTTCCTTCCTTCCCCCAAGCTTTCCTCATGCCGCCAGCCGCCTCACGCCCCGCCCACATCCTCTCCCCCCAACCGCAGCCACGCCCCTCACCGCTGCTGCACCGGCGGGATGCCCTCCTTCTCCTCCACCCGCTCCTTGATGCGCTCAATGGTGTCGGATGGCTCGATGTCGATCTCGATCTCCTTGCCCGTGAGCGTCTTCACCTTGATCATCATGCCGCCCCTGTGCAGGCAGCAGGCAACAGCGACAGCAGCCAACGACTTTAAGCGATAGCAGCCGACACAGAAGCCGCAGACACAAACGCCGCAGACACAGAAGCCAACACGACAACCAGTCAGGGAGGTAGAGGGAGAGGTGTAGATCGACAGCCAACAGCAACTTCCGTCACTGCTAACTGTCGGAGAACTGCATCTAGTAAGCGGGAGGCGGTCACGGCCCAGGTGGCCATCTGGGGCACACCTCAGGACGGAACGCACGTACTTCCCAAACGCCCATGTGGCCATGCCTGAACCCTATTGGACTAGGCAAGTGTGGTGCAGGGCGGTGGTGCAGGGCGGGGGAGCGGGGGGCGGCCCCCAGGGTGCAGGTTTGTCTCCGATCGTTATTCGTCGCCACATGATCGTTATGATACGCATGACCCCGTTTGTGCTGTTTCACCACCAAATACCAGCCGTATTGCTACCAGGAAGAGCCAGGTACGGCGCGTACCTCAGACGCAGCACGAGGTGCAATGTGCTCTCCTTCTGGATGTTGTAGTCTGCTAGCGTGCGCCCGTCCTCGAGCTGCTTGCCAGCAAAGATGAGACGCTGCTGGTCCGGAGGAATACCTGTGTGGCAACACGGAGGAGGTCGGGGTCCACAAGCAGATCTAAGCGTCGAAGGCCAGGGCTTCGCCCAGCAGCCAAAATTTGAAGTGTCAACCACAACATCACTTAAGCTTAACATCACTTGCCCTCTTTGTCTTGGATTTTTGCCTTGACATTCTCTATTGTGTCAGAGGATTCCACTTCCAACGTAATCGTCTTGCCAGTCAGTGTCTTCACAAAGATCTGCATTCTGCTCTAGGCTATACTGTACAGTGACAGGAGGGAGGAAAAAGGAATGAGAGCTAGACCTATGATGTCCTGCAGTATGGCAGGTAAGGTAAAGGCGAACTGACAATGCAAGATAGGAATCTTACAATTTAGGTTATCACATAGGTTCCCACGCGCTAAATGCGCGTGGATTGCACTGTACTAACAAACGGCAACTCACTGCCGTACTTCATCGGCATGGGATAGTGCGTAAGTCAACCAGGGAAGGCATATTTTGCACAACCCTTTTCCATAGGCCGATTGTTGCACAACCCAGCTATAGCGTTTGACAAATCGCCCGGGGGTGGGGTCCATGGACCGCGGGCCCGGTCCACTCGACTTCCATTTTAAGCGCCGCGTCATATCCCTCTACGCTCAAGCCACTCGCCATGGCTAGCGGTTGGGGGCCTCTTGCCGGTGTCGCTGCAGTTCTCCTCCTGTTCTCGAGCTTAGCATGGCCCAGCCATCAGGCGCAGAGCATTTCATCAACGGCCCAGGCCCTCTTAGACCCTGGAGTCACTAGATATGATGGCTTTGATCCAGCGTCCGCTAGCTTGAAACTGGTGCAGGTGGTCTTCAGGTAAGGAGCTGCGTGCATTGCTGGGCCATGGGAAGCATTGGAGTTAACTGTGCCGTTATGGTAGTCGTTTTTATGCCTAGTCGTCTAGTGTGCTATTTTTCAAGTTTAGCGTCAACGGCGATTGCCGTTGGCTTGCGTGATGTGCTCCCTGCAGGCACGGAGCACGAACTCCACTCAACACCATTTACCGTTTTCCGGGTACTAACTGGAGCCACTGCCCCGAGCACTATCCGGTGAGTGCGCTTGTAGTTCGCCGCGTTCAAATGACCTGATGGTGGGCGGCTGGCAAGAAGCTGGTCTATCTTGGCACGCGTTAAGAGAATCTCTGTAATCTGCATTTGCCGCAAGCTTGAAGACTTGACCGTCCTGCGCCGAAGACCCCGGCGAAGTTCAATGGACGCGTCCGGCATGCGAAGAGTTGGTCTGCGAGGAAGAGTCCAGGAGTTAAGAGCCGCATGATCTAATCTTAACCTTAAACTCCATACCTGCGCTTCGCTTCAAGATGGCTTGCGCACGGGTGCCCGTTTTGTTTCCCGTGGTGCTGCGCCGCTTAGCATTGTCAATGCTGCACCCCTGCTATTTTCCCGCAGGGTGTCGAGGTCCAGCTTTTCGATGAGAATGGCGCTCCAGAACCGCCTCCGATCATCGATATGGTGCGTGCTGCTCCTTGTCATTCCTGGGTTTGCAGCACACGAACTTTACCTCCCTTGTCCCTTGTGTATCCGTTTCACATTCGGTACGGAGGTACGCATCAGCTGCACATCCTACGCGCATGTCGCCCTCCCTCTACTCTCTTCCTCACCATTCCTGCTTTGCCACTGTACTTACCTTGCCGAACGGAATAAGCCTGCCGCGCCTCCCCATCCCTCGCCTAAACACAGTCCCTTGCCGCCCTGCCCATCCCTCCCGCGCCTCCCAATCCTCGCCATCCCTCCCCATCCCTCCCCATCCCTCGCCCCCTTCAGGACACACCAGTGCTGCCCGGCGGATGCCGCCAGGGCACCCTCACCTCCGCGGGTTACGGCATGGTGAGAGAGAGGAGGAGGAAGGGGAAGAGGAAGCGTCGGAGCGGGCTCTCCCTCCCAGGGTGTCGCGTTGGTGCGGGTGCGGAGGGGCAATATGAGTTCTTCTTAGGTTTCCGTGCCGTGATGCTCCTGTCCCTCCCTTCTATATGTGTCAGCCTCCCTTCTCTCTCCTCCTCACCTGCCGCGCACCCTCCCTACCGCCCTTCCTGCCTCCATTCCCGTCCATCGTCCTCCCCCACATCAGGCCCTCAAGCTTGGCGCATGGCTGCGTCACCGCTACGTGGACGGTCACGGCAGCACGGGCGGTTTCCTTCCGGACCTCCTAACCGCCTCAACCGCCAGCACTACCAGCAGCAGGGGCAGCAGCAGCAAGGGCAGGAGGCTGGCAACTGCAGCAGCAGCAGCAGCAGGGGCGAAAGGGGCAGGAGTAGCCGCCAATGCAGCAGGAAATGGCGTGGCAGATCCAAGTTTCGAACTTGGTCGTACCGGTAGTCGTACGGATGGAGTCGTACGGTGGGATTCTGCCGTAGCAAGCCTGCGTACGACAACGATTCGTCGTACGGTTGCGACGCTGAGGGGCGTGGTGACGGGGCTATGGCCGGGACTGGCAGTGGCAACGGAGGAGGAGGGGGAGGAGAAGGACAGGCGGAGTGGAGCGCCTTTGCCGGTGAGGGGAATTGAGATGGGACCAGGGTGGGTGTCCTAAACCCTAGAGTCCCCCTAGGAGAACCCTCGTCCGGCCCTCCTGTCCTGTCCTGACGGCTCTCCCACTCTCTCCGGCGTCCCCGCCCCACGGCAAACCTGCCTCTAACCTTCCCGAACCCTGCCGATCTCTCCCTGCTCTTATCCATCTGCTCAGTTACAATGCTCTTCTCACTTCTCACCATCCCCCAATGCGCCAACCAGGTGGCCGCCAGTGTGGAGTCGTTGGAGATCATGTACGGCAACAACCGTACATGCGCCCGACTGCAACCGCTGTACGACGCAATGCAGCGGGATCTCAACGGTAAGAACGAATTATGGCAGAGGAGGACACAGACAGAGAGCGAGGCAGAGAGGTGGTTGGCGGGGAGAAGCATAGCTGAGCTACTAAGCCGCATTATGGGAGAGAGTCTTTTGCATCTACGAGGGCTTGTTACATTCGTCTTCTTGCTCGGTCCACACCCTTACGAAGCGTCCTTCACCCCTCCCTCCTCAGTCCTCACCTGTGCTCCCGCACTCCCTTCCCGTCCCTCCCCCTCCCTCCCTCTCCAGCCTCCGACGCGCGGGACGCCGAGCTGCCCCGCCTGAACCGGCTGGTGGCGCAGGCACTGGGTCTGGACCAGGGGCAGGAGGTGTTGTGGTGAGAAGGAAGGAAGGGGGGGGAGAAATATAAGGAAACTGACGAGGCAACTAACAAGCTGTATGACAAGCAGGACTGCTTGCATGTTAGCTATTTGGACAGGGTCAGGGCCTCCCTCCCGAGCGCGCAGCTCTGAATGGCATACGACGCACACGCTCTCAGTTGCTTCAACACACCTTCCGGCTCGCGGCCAGCTTTCTGAACACACACGCACACTCGCTCGCTCGCTCTCCCCGCCTGTCCCTCCGCTCTTCCCTTCCCACAGGACCAAACTGTACGACGTGCTGGCAGGCATGATTGCTGACGGCCAGCCGCTGCCCCCGGGGGCAACCCAGGAGGTGCTGAAGGTCATTTGGGAGCAGGTGGGCTTGAGGGGTGGGAGGAGGTATGATGAAGGAGGGAGGAGGGGTATGTGTGTATGTGCTTGAGGGGTTACTCGCATCGGCGGAGGGAGTGAGTGAGGGAGGGAGGGGGACAGGCTGGGGGTTTCGTAAGGAGGGATGGCTATGGGGTCAAGGGCCTGGGGCTGGGGTGTTGATAGTCTTCGAGGGGATTATGCGGAGAGCTGACACTTGCCTTCCCTTCCCTCCATCTCCTTCCTTCCATTCCCTCCTTCCCCTCTCTTCCCCCTCCTTCCAGGCTGAGCGGCACGAAGCCAGCATCATCGGCCCTGGAGCTGACCTGTGCGCCTCTCTGGGCCCTGGCGGCGACGGAGCCGGAGAGCACGAGGCGTCCACTGACCCACGGGTCACCGACGACGAGCCGGACGCAGGCTACAGCAATCGCGGCAGCAGCTTTGACCCGTACAATGGCGCTGAGGGCGATGCTGGGTCCAACGGCGTCATCAGCGGCAGCATCAGCAGCAGCGCACGACGGCGGCGTTGTCATGAGGTGCTGCGGCTGGGGATTGGGCTGCTGCTGAGGAGGCTGTTGGACAACATGGAAGCGGCAGTAGCAGCAATAGATGAAGAGGCTGCTGCTAGTGCTGGTGCTGGTGGGGCTGCTGCTGTCGACTCCTCTGACGGCACTCGCCGGAGCCTACGGAACCAGCAACAGCAGGGCAAGCAGCAGCAACACAAGCCTTCCGGCTCCCCAGCTGCCTTGACCCCCACCACCCTGCAAACCTCATCCTCCCGCCCGCACCCCTCCAAGCTATACCTCTACAGCGGGCATGACAGCTCGGTAACCCCGCTGCTAGCTGTGCTGGGGCAGCCCGCCACCGCCTGGCCTCCTTTCACAGCCAATGTGGTGTTTGAGCTATGGCAGGGGCCGGTAGCGGACGGTAGCAGCAGCAGCAAGGGAGGTAGCAAGGGCGGGAGCAGCAGCAGCAGGGGCGGTAGCAGCAGCAGCAAGGGTGGTGCAGGTACAGGTGGTGGCAGCAGAAGGTACCTCCGGGAGCGGGTTGGTGAGGTGGCGGGAGGAGATGTGACGGGAAGGCGGGGGCTGGTAGGGAGGAAGGCGGTTGAGGAGGCGTCAGGGGCGAGTGAGGAAGGGGCTGTTAAAGGCGGCGGGGATGCTTTTACAGGTGTTTCCAAGTCGTCTGGGTATTGGGTAAGGATCCTGTATAACGGAAAGCCGTTGGTGATTCCGTTGCTCAGCGATGCGGGTGGTTGGTTACCGTTGAGCGTCTTACGTACGAGGGTATTCTTGCCATACGCGATCAGGCCCGAGGAGCATGCGGAGGTTTGCTCCAGGGTTGATATTCGAGATCTGGATTCGGTTCAGCCGCCCACTGGGGATTGGGAGACGAAGAGGAAAGGGAAGGGGAAGCGTCGCGAGGTGCGGGAGGGATGGCAAGATGAGGAGTCGCTATCTCCGGCACGACGGGCAGCTCGCGAGCGGGCGATGCGGCATGCGCTGTTGTAGGGGGCATGACGGTTGGATGACCGTTGACCAGGAGGGGAGCGGGAGCGGGAGGGGAGCGGAATGGGGTCATCGGGCCCACAAGGACATGCGTGCTAGTGTTGGTTTGCATTCTGTGCTACTGTTTTCTTTTGGCGTCAACAAAACTGTTTTACATTTTACCTTCCCCCCAAAACCGTAAGGACTAGGGTAGCAGCAGACAACTTGCATGTGGGGGTCAGTCGTGCGGTCATTTACAAACTAGCGGTATTGAGCGTGGTTAAAAGCTAACCAGGGGTAATTGGTGTGGTTAAAAGCTGATCGGAGGGCAACCGGAGCGGTATGGGTACACAGGGTGGTGTGGTTAAACAGGGCAACATGACAATCCAGGTTATGACTAAACCGCAGGAGTGATGCTACCCATCGGGACGAGGCAGCAAGCTCGTTAAGGCGCAGCGGAGCGCGTTAGTTATCATAGTATGTCGCGCCCGCCGCCTTCCGTACGTAATTACGTTGTGTAAACTTGTGGTGGTCGGTTTGGTGTAGTTGTTTATGGTAGGAAGTGAATAAAACATTGAGAACTTTGCCGTGCAGAGGGTTTGTAGTACTTTTAGGTTGTTGTTGCGTGGAGAGGAGATGACACTGTGTGGCGTGTTTGCGTTGTATATCGCACATGTAGTTGCATTTGTGCATGTGTTTTGAGTTATGGAATGGAGGGAAGTAGTGTGTGTTCGTGTCATGGGTAGTTGCGTGGATGCTGTCGTGCATATCAATCCATTCTGACGGTCTGCTGTGGAAATGCGCATTAAGAGTTACGTAGCATCTCTCTGCAAGCATTACGATTCCTTTAGGGTCCATTGCCCATAGAGCCTTGTGGTGTGTTGTCCGTCCATCAAATGCTAATTACTTATGCATGGGCCCTGCTGAATATGCGAATTTCTTTGGACACTTACCTTGCTCTAACAGTTGGGTTACTCGGTCTTGGTGTAAGTTGCTTTCGCAAACACCCCAAAGGCACGCAGTTGCTCAGGACTTGTCAACAAAAGGTTGCCGCAGTTATCGGCCTTACATGTTGGCAGAGCTCTCAGCATGAATGTAAGGGTCGTGCTCCACATCCCTGATTGGGTTGCATGGGTGGAACCCCGGGGCCTTACCCTCCGATGCTCCCCCAGCCAACCCCACATCACGGTCAGTTAGTTGTTTCCTCTTTACCCCCACATCGTTACCGCATCGTGCAGTATAGTACGGCATGGGTTACAGCATGGCATGACATCCCCTTCTCACATCACATTAGAAACACGTCAAGGCCAGCGCTCTCATCACATGTCAAGGCCAGCGCTCTCATCACATGAAGCTTACGGAAAGCTGGGAAGGGATCATCCTTCACCCTAAAGTGAGCAGTCTTGTCACCATACTTGTCACAAACGCACCATGGCACAGACCCAGGGCGCCATGGGACATGAACGTAAGCTTGCCAACGTGATCTACCGGTAACCAAAATAAGCCTGGACTGTACGCCACTTTATTGGTTGGCGTTACAATAATGGAAGGGCAAAAAGGCGCCCCTGTCACAGTGCGCTGCCTAGCCACCCGCATCAAATACTTAACCGTAAGTTGTACGTGGCTTCCGACACAGGATGAAGCCGGCATGCTGGGAGCGTGACCCACGGGTCTGCCTCGAGTGTAGGGCCGCATGCAAACAGCTGCCGCCCTGTAAAGTTAGGCGCTTAGTACGCGCCACTAACACCCAAACTAAACCGTCAGCAGCGTTCTAAGGAGGCATCACCAACAACGACAAACAAAATGACTTTACAAGGAAAGCGACTAAACATAAAGTTTTGTCTTCTCTGAGAATTATCCGACAAGATGACGTACGGCACGTACAAAGATGGCTTGCTCAGCGTGCGAGCCGTAATAAGCCCGAGAAGCGCCATATTAGATTACCGGTACATAGAGGTCAACTTATGACATTGTTGATATCTCTTTTACAACAGCCCCCGCCGCTCTCATGCTGCAACCTGAACCCTCCTCCTCCTGCTACTGCTACATATACCCCAAACGCAACCAAACAACCGCCCAGCCTATATACTCACCACAGCCTATCCCTTAGCGACCGAGAAGCCCCCCCTGAATGGGTTAACCCACGACTCACTAGCGAGTTCCTACGCGTTTCCCTAGTACGCACGCAAGAAGATAGCCATCTGCACACCTCTGCTGCTTAGCTATCGGAGCATATTCGTTTGCAGCTCATCACTTCACATTCCTACAACAAGGCAAGAGCGCATAGGGCCCACAAATCGCTGTCAATCTAGCATACAAGTCCCCGGCCTGCAACATACCGGTGTCAAGCTAGCTATACATGCATGATAGCTACCGGCTAGCGCCCACTACTATAATACCCGTTTCAGACATACTCAAGTAGAGAACGGAAACGAAAGGAGGAAAAGATGAATCGCAGCGAGCAAGCAGTCTCACAAGCTGTTGCTGTCGCCTTAAACATGAACTACGCTGACAGATACCTTGCGCCCCATATCTCAGAGGGAAGGTATCATGCATGAAGTGTAAGCTCCAAACCCCAAACGTCCTGCTGTCCTGCCGAACCCTTTCACAGGCAGGCATGTGTATATACGCATCACAAGAACTTTTGCCCTGCCGCCGTTTTATCTGACTAGTCGACATCACGACCTTATAACCCTTGACCTAACACTTGCACATGCATACTGAAAGGAGCCGTACATAAAGCATTAGCAGCACGACACTATTATTCCGTACGAGAGCTTGCAAACTGCTTACTAGGCCATATCTATAAACCATTAGAAAGCACTCCTTCCTCTGCATTTGCGTCCCATCCAAAGTAAGCCTTCCGTCTCAATAACAACGCACTACTATCTAATACCGGCTGTCCACCAGAGCTCCTCCTGACGTCATCAGGGGCGCTGCTGCGCCCACATACGCATAGGCGTACGCTGCTACCGGAGCCAAGGGACCCAAGTCGCCGCCAACTCCCGCACCATTCAACCAGGTTGCCGCGCCAGCGGCGCCGCCGCCGCTGCTGCGGCGGCGGCCGTACACCACCACTGACGACTGCCAACGCTGCGGAGGCGGCGGAGGCGGAGCCGACGAAGTCGCCGTCGTTCGCTGCTCACTGGCGGCGACCGCCGCCGCCGGAGGCGGCGGCGGTGTCGAGGTCGCCGCCATTGATGACAGCGGCGTCGCCGCCGCCGTCAGCAAGCCCAGCCTTGCCTTGCTGGTTTCGAAGCATGTGAAGAAGATGGCTGAGCAAAGCGTCGTTTGCAACAGTCGCGGAGCCAAACCGTTGAATAGCGCCGCCGGACCGCCGGCACGCACCGTCGCCGTCAGCGCCGCCGCCACTGACTTCGCCGTACCGCACAACATCTGGGTCCTGACGACGTCCAGTGGCGTCGTCGTCAGTGCGGCGGCGGCGCCGGCGGCGCCGCCAAGCAGGATACTCTCCGCCAGGCCTCCGCCGGCGGTGGCAGCGCCGCCGCCGCCAGCTGACTTCTTCTCCTTCTGGTGGTCCAGAAGAGATTTGAGTTGGCGGTAAACGGTAAACTGAATGACAAGCTCCGGTGCGTCACGGAGCATTGAGGCGCCGAAACCCGAGTACAGACCCATGGGTCCCTTGGTCGCCAGGATGTCCCGGATCGCGTGGATCGCCGAGGGGTAGGCGTAAGCCTAGAGGTGGCGGGAAGAGGTGTGTTGACATGCGTTAATATGAGACTTCTTTGGACAGGGACGCACTTCAAAACCACGCAGCAATGGCCGCAATATTAGGAATGTCCATCATGTAACGACAGGTTTTTGCCTCCATTAACCTTGCCAAAGAAGCTTCCCCTTTCCCCTCCCACCCACCTGCACCCGGTGCTTCACCACGTCTGCAGGCACCCGTACGAGGGCGGCGAGGCAGGCGGCGGTCGCAGAGGCCGTCAGACGGCAGGGAGCGCCCTCGCTGCAGCAGGAAAGGAGGAGGGGATAAGGTAAGAAGGGAAGGTGAAGTTGTAAGCGATAGTGGCAGCTCGAACAGGGGAGGAAGAGAGTGTCGCGAGGTCTGTGTCGGCCTGTCGGGTATGTGTATAGACCTCTCCCAACGCATCTGTCCTAGTTTTCTTCCTTAAGACTGGAACAACCAGGGCTTGGTACCACTACACCCCGCCTGCAGTACCGTACCACACCAACACATCCCGATCCCGCAACTCTCGTGCATGATGCATCACCTTCGACACCCTTGCTCACCTGTCCAACTGCAGGGTCCGTCCCAGCCACTTCCGCACCGCCTGCTCCGTTGTGAAGTACACAGCGGATGCGGGCAGCGTTCCGGCCACTGCGGCCGCCAAGCCTAGGTACACGTCCCGCAGACCCGCGGGTCGCGCCCACGCCAGGAGTGCTTGCGGGCGGGTGTCGGAGCAGTACATGACGGCCCGCCACATTTGGAGTTGGGGGTTGCACAGGGAGACCTGCACAGGGGAGGAGGAAGGGGAGAAGGTTGCGGTTACGGTTGCGGTTGCGGCAGTTTAGGAGCGGTTCTCGTTGCTTCGAACTCTCACTTGAACCTACAACCCGGCACCTAAAACCCTAGGACATGCGGAATAAATCCTAATAACCCACCTGCAGTCGTGTCTTGAGGGTGTCGAGGGGGTGGATTGCCATCTGGGCGAGGGTGCGAGACACCGCCCCGGCAGCCACTGTAGCAGCAACCTTGGGAGAGGACAGAAGTGCGGGCAGAGAGGGGGCAGGGGGAGAGCGGGGATAAGTGGGCGTTGAGGGCAGATCTAGGGATGTGAACAGTCCATGTTACCATACCAGAGGAAGGGGTTTATTAGGACACCGGATGCTGGGAAAAAAGGAGAGCTATCTTTGGATATTACACACCGATTCACGACAGGACAGGACAAAGGACACACCTGAGCCCAGCTCTCAGTTTCTTGTTGCTGTGCCAAATGTTGCTGGGCGGCGTGATCCTTGCTGCTGCCACTGTTGTTGGCCACCGTGCCATGGACATTGCTGTCCTGGTACTGTTGCTGAGGTCGATGTTGGTAGAGCCGGCGGTGGTGGCGGTGGTTGGGTTGGGGTTGCGAGCGAATGGGGGATGATGAGCGCTGATGGAAGCCTCGGAAGGCACCCTGGAGGTGAGGCCACCAGGAGTTCCCGGGAGCGGTAGAAGAGGAGGATGAGGTGGTGATGGTATGTTCGGCGAGGTTGGACGAACGGTTCTGAGGAGTAACATCTGACGGTGCGAACATCTCCCGTAGCTGCTCCATTGTGCGGAAAACTTGCAGACCTCCGACCAATGCCGGCATCAGCGACTTTTGCAAGTCGTCTGAGGCAAGCTCGCCGTCGACAGACACAAGTGTCGCCATTAAGATGACAGTAGTTTGCAGATGGTAACTGCGTCGCGGAAGCTCCGGACTTTGGCTTCCGGAGGCCACGTAGTTGGTCGGTAGTTGCTGCGAAGCGCACACAGTGGTGTTACTTGTCGGTACAGGAGAAATGCCACGGCGCGAATAACAATCTATTGTCACCTATGGAATGTATAAGAAGGACACTAGGTTCAAGAAGAAAAACGCAAAAAGGGTAAACAAACCGTTCAGTACCGGCTGTAGTCAGGAGCGCTTATAATGCCACCACAAGGCTAAAGCAGCAAACCCGTAAGCACTCTTAAGTAGATGTATTCACTTACTGGCTGTTTGCCTTTCTAACAGGCCCCCTCGATTGCTCCTGAAGCCTGTCCTGCTGCTCAACTGGATAATTAATATCAGTTGTAACTCGCAAGCTTGATACGTAGACAACCCTTACAATGGATTCCTTGAGATGCGAAGGGTTTATGCTTTTATTCCTGGAATCAGTTAATGATCTCCGAAACCATGAATTTCCTCTACGCGCAACTTCCCCGTGCGAAACCCTTCCGCAACTGGCCCGGATGTCTATGTAATATGTCGCTTTGTTACTTGAGATGGTCAGCGGCGGTAGTAACCGAGCAGCAACATCCCATAGGCGTTGACAAGGGCGTTCACCTACCCGAACGCTGTTGCCCGAAGCCTCAAAGCCCTTGCGGCTTTCAACGGGACAACACCAAAACGCGGCATACAAGCTGAAAGGAGGCAAAATGGCGTCACAAAAGCGGCCGTTGGACCGCGCCTTCTTGACAGCACGCACGTATGCTTAGTTTCGCCTGACAGCTCTTTCCTAGTCTCGGCAAGCAGCAAGACGGCGTGCATAAGACCCAGCTGGAAAGCCCACACGCAAGAACACAAAATCGCGACCGCAATAGTTGTGTGCCAGAGAACTCACGTTTTGGGTGAGTAGCTGTTTTGTCAAGAGCGCTAACCCATCTAGTGTTACACCAGCAACCTTGCGTGGGAACACCGCACTTGACTCACGGGCCCTCCATCTTCCTGCATGCACCATCTTCTCTGCCCAGTCGCCGCATAATAACAGCCTTTGAAAACGCCTGTCAACGAAAGGCCTACCCAGTCTGGTACGGCACGGTAAACCACACAAACTACCAAGTCCCCTCTACTCCTGCACCAACGTCTGCCGCACCAACAGCAGCTTCTTAATCCGCAGTACAATGCGTGTAAACGCAAGAAACACAGGAACTGTACGGCAGTGGTAACCGCAGACGTACGGCACTGTACGGCACTGTCCTCCGCCCACTGCACAACGCATGATGACTCCCCCCTGCCTACTTCCAACATAACCCATATTACCGACATAGCTACCAGGAACAATACAACTGCCTACTCATGCTTTAAATACTCACCCTCTCTACCGTTGTGCATAAAACCCATCCCCAAACAACCTCCTCTTCTTGTCATCGGTTCTCTACCCTCTCCTCCTCCACCGCCCCTCCTCCCATCCTAACCGCCTTGCTAGCCGCCTAACCCTGCCACTCCCCTACTGCTTCCCCTGCTGCCGCTATTGCGCAGGTACCCCTCCAACTCCCATTCCCTTCAAACGGACCTTCGCCTTATCGGCTGCTCCCCACCCTCGCTACTACTTTGCTGCTACTGCACCCCCACGCCCCTTGCCCCTCACACCGTGCACCACCTCACGCCTTCTGCCCCACAAGCCCTTTGCCCCCCACGCTCCTCACCCCTCACGCCTTGCCCGCAGCTGCCGGCTGCTTCCCCCCCTGCTGCTGCTGCTGCTTCACCGCAGCAATGTGCTTTGCCAGCTGGCCGGCGCTCTCGTAGCCGTACTCCACCACCTTGCCCAGCGCAACACCTGCAGGGGAAAAGATGAGGTGCCAAGGCAGGGCAAGGCAGCGTTGTACGGCATGGAATCATACGGCAGGAAAAACGGAGGAAAGCAGACATGTACGGCACAGCATCCTCCCAAGTACCCCCCTCTTCCCCCACCTTCCCCCTCATCCCCCAAAACCCTCCCCAAACCCTTCCCTGGCACGTACCCGACACGTAGTTCCCCCCCAGGAATACCCCCCGCCAGCCGGCTCCATCCAGCGCCTTCCTCGCCTCCTCGAGGGCCTCCAGGTGCCCCAGATTGAACTGCGGGATGGCTCGGGGCCACACGCGCACACCCACCACACGCGGGGCGGGCGCGTCGGGGTTAATCACCATGAGGCGCAGGTCCTTGTCCACCTGGGGGAGGGGAGGGGAGGCGGAGGGGGGGTCCAAAGAAAAAGGGTGTAACCGTGAAACGCTCAGGAGGTAGAAAGGACCACCATAGCCACAACCTACCTGCCTCAGCGGCTTGAGTGGATAACCACACACGTTTCCTCCCCCCCCTCTTCCCCGTATCCCCCCCCCCACCTGCTCCACCAGCTCTTGGTTGCTCATGTCAACAATCCGCCGGTTGGTCGCCCCGCCGATGTAGTTGAGCAGCAGCATTTGGCCCGGCGGTGCGCGACCCGGGAAGAGGGAGGAGGAGTAGATGGTGCCCAGCGTGGTAATACCCTGGGGGGGAGTAAAGGGGGGGTAGGGTGTATGTGTGTTAAGAAACCTTGCCGCGAGAAGGAACGTGTGTTCGTGTGCGCGTATGTGTAGTAGTGGCGGGGTGTAAGGAGGCTCAGGGGTTAGCGGGAGCGCATGGGGATTGCATTGTGTTGACATGACCGCGTTTGACATCTAAACGTTCTACCATCTCTCGCCCCTCCCAAACCAACGCCCCCACATGGCGGGTTGGTTTGCCTGATGTACCCAGTGATTTCATGTACCCCCCCCCTCAAGCCGTGTCATACAGCCTGTCAGTTTCCGCTTCCCCCCACCTGCGACCGAGGGTGCAGCTGCCCGAAGCCCGGCACCTCCCCCTTGTCGTTCTTGCGCTCCGGTCGTACGGCACCCAGCGGGTAGGCCAGCGTCACGGCGGCAACGGGGGGGTAGTCGAATGAGGAGAGGACGGAGGCGGCGGCGGGCTGGGAGGGGGGGGGGGGACGAGAGGGGAAGGGAGTGGGAGGGTTAAGGGGTGGTGGGGAAGGAAGCGGGAAAGCAAGGAGACGCCAGGGCATGGCACGGATGGGCTGTTGTTGCTGCTTCCAAGAAGGCTTCGCAGCCCCATTAAATCACCGTGTACATGGCGGGGATAAGCTCCTGCACCTTTCCTTCCTGCAAAACACACACGCCCTTTCACGTGCTTCCTTTCACGTGCCTTCCCTACCTCCCCGCCTCTTCCCGCCCCACCCCACCCCCATCACTCACTGCATGAGTCGGGATTCGGGATTGGGATTGCGTTGTTGCATTTATTTATAATTTTCACCCCACCCCCATCATGTAGGGTTTCTCTTTGCCCCCACCCCCACTCACCACCTCCTGCCGTACAAGGTCCGCCACAACGTACGACGGCGCAGTGAGCGCTACAGCCCGGCTGTAGCACTGCACTCGCCCCTCGGGGGTGTCGTACACCAGCACGTAGCGGTCCTCTGAAGACGAGGCGTCGCGAGTGAGCGAAACGAGTTTCCAGTTGACCCTAACACGGTTTAGGGAATGAAGGCAAGGCAACGCAGGCAGAAGAGGTTTGTAGGGGCTTTGGGGACAACACCAGGGGGTGTTTTCTTTGCGGAAAGAAGCGGAGGTGGAGGGTGTTGTTGTTGTTGTTGCCTACTGGCGTCATGGCTGCGTTAGTGGGAGGCAAGCGGCTATCTCGTGATCCGTTCCCCCCACCTGACTTGCTGCGCGATGCGGCGCTGAATGGCCTCCGGCAGCATCTTGAGGCCATTACGGAAGGAACCCACTGGGGTGTGGGGGTGTTACAACATGGGGGGTGAGCAAGGATTGTTAGAGGACGAATAGTGACGAAGACGTAGGAAAACGAACAGCAGGAAGCGCTCCCTCCACCCCTCCCTCCCTCCTCGTCTGCTTCCGCCCCCCCCCCCCCCCACACACACACACGCTCAACCACAGTACGTTTCGCCTCGCGGCCAGTTATTTTAACACAAGCTCACCTGTTTGCCCCTGCGGCTTGGGCGGCAGGCGGGGGTCCCGCGGTGGTGGCGGGTTGCTCCTGCGCTGCTGCAGCAGCTTCAGTGAGCCACCCACCAGGCTGCCTCCCATCTTCTCAAGCACCCAGATCCTTGGGTGAAGGACGGAGGAAAGGGGGGTTGAGAATCTCTAACCTAGATGAAGAGCAGGTTGGTGAAGAACAGGTTGTTGTGGTGTGTCTTGGTGAGGGAAGAGGAAATAACCAACTGACTGAGGGATAAGGCGTCAACATGGGTTGCAACATGTGTCTTGGTGAGGGAAGGAGGAGAAGGGCAGGAGGGCCATGGAGGTGGGAATGACACCTGGGGCCGCCGTACTAGCAGGCCGTTGTTCTTTCCCCACCCCTCTCCCCTCTTTCCCCCTCCCTCACTTGTAGAAGGCGGCCTTCATGGACAGCTTGGAGGGGTCGCCCGCGTACACGCCCGAGCAGAAGGGCTCGATGAGCCGCGCGAACACCTCCTCACCAAGGTTGCGACGGATGAACTGCGCCACACTCTCCTCGTGGTCTGTGAGGGGAGGGGGAGAGGTTGGGGCGTTGGCGGTTGGGGAGGGGAAAGTGTAGTAGTAAAGGGGGATTCGGGGTTCGCGACACGCAAGGGAGGGCAAATGAACTACGCCACACTCTCCTCGTGGTCTGTGAGGGGAGGGGAAGAGGTTGGGGCGGTTGACGGTTGACGGTTGGGGGAGAGGCGTTGGCGGTTGGGGACGGGGCAGTTGGGGGTAATGTTTCTGGCGTTATTATAGGGGGATACGGGTTCGCGACACGGTGGCTGAGTTAACTGCTTATCCCAGCGCACCCCCAATACACCGACCCCCATCACGTCCGTGCGTGCTTGTGCACCCACCCAACCCAGACCCCACCCTCGCCCCGAGCCCAGCCCAGCCTAGCCCAGCCCAGCCCAGCTCTCGCATCCATCTCGCCCCCACCCACCCGGCATGCGGCCGTTCATGAGCCCGATCGCCCCCAGCCCCGCGCGTATCTTGCCCAGCAGGCTCATCAGGTCGAAGGTGAGCGCGTCCAGGCCGCTGGGAACCGGGCGCAGCCGGCCCTCCCAGAACACGAAGCGGGGAGCCTGCAGGGAGGAGGGGGAAGGGCAGGGAGGGGAAGGAGGAAGGGAAGGAACGGGAAGGGGGAAGGGAAGGGGGAAGGGGGCCAGGGGGAGGTTAGGCACGGGACTTCGTCTTTCGGCAAGCACAGCACGTCCCGACTCGCGGCCAGCTTTCTAAACACACGGATGGGTATTCCTTTGTCCCCCGGCCCCCACCCCCCAACACACACGCACACGCACCCCCCCCTACCTTGGGGTCCCCCAGCACAAGGTCCTTGTCCACTCCGGCATCCACCTGGAGGGGGGAAGAAAGAGGTTGGTTAAATGCATTGGGGGGTTAACCGCATTGGCTGCCAGAAGTAAAAGAATCACGGAAGGAAGGACGGGCCAGGGAAGAACGTGGTTTAGGTGGGAAGTCGGAGGATGGGCTTTTGGTTGTACCCCATAGAGGGGGCAATGCCAATGATCGGCATACAGGGGTGTCTTTACACCATCAGACGAGACACTGCAACCCTTCCTAACCTAACCCTTCCACGGCATTTTACCAATAGAAAGTCCTCATCGCCTGGGGCTCTTCTCATACGCAACCTACCGCGACTTGGAGCATGCTGTCGTTAGGTTGGAAGCTGTTTGGGCCCTCCTCCCAAACATAGCCATCGCCGGACAGTGAGGTGATGTTGCCACCAACGCGCTCGCGAGCCTCCGTTACAAGGAAATTTTGGATTCCATGTTGTGCTGCTAGTCCTTGACCGGTTACTAAGCCCGAAAGGCCGCCACCGACAACAATCACATCGTACACATTATCAAGCACTTTGTCGACGCGGCCGGAATCTGCTGCAGAAACGCCATTAGTAGTAGCTGAAGGTAGATCGCGGCGAGCTGGGCGGCCGGAAACGTGTGGGGCCGGGCTGGGAAGCGGCGAGGCGTGACGGAATTGGACGCATTGTCCGGACCTGGAGGCGCGGTGTGCCGGCACACGCGCGACTCCGCGGACCTGAGACCTGGTACGACTGGTGCTAGAAATTCCGGTCGACTGAGAAAGTATCATGGCCCTTTGCTGGTTGAAAACGCGAGCGGTTGGAGTTTGGGGGCCTAATTCAGGTCAAGTACCGCTAAACTCGTTGCATAACAGCAAAATCAAGCACCTCCTATACAGACCCAGATCGATGAGCAGATGTCGGCCGCGAAAGAACCTGCGTAAACAATTAGCATCTCGGTGTTGCCGTACGACCATCATCTCTTTCATCGTTGACGTGACATGAGTGCTGTGAATGCTCAACACTTTCGCCTATGTTCTCTTAAGCCATTTAACATCTCACCGTTATATACTATGCAGTTAACTGCATCTCTTATTATGCCATGCAATAGCCAGTGATTCTCTGAATGCCAGAACGTGTATAAGCAACATATACATTGGACAGAGCTTTGTAACAAGCAGATCGTGCTTTGCGGCCAACAATCACTGTTAGTAGTCACGGAATCCAATCGCTCCTTCCTAGAGAAATGCCCGGACTCTCTCGCTGCGTCCCATTCACAAGCCATTCGGCTGGTCAGAGCGCATACGGGTGGAAGCTTGTACGCTCGCCACACTCGCAAGCTTTACCCGCTCGCCATGGCTGCTGCGCGACAGCCTCGCTTTCGACAATCACCCAAACTACCAGCCATTTGAAATCGAGAAGCCGAAACTCGCAGCTGGGATGCCTCGCTGCACTTCCAGTGAGCAGCGTCAGCTGTCATCGGACGACGCAATCCTTTGGTTCGGTCCTCAAGTCACAGAAGTCGCTTGGAACTGTTTCCTCTAACACAACCTTAACCTTCACGGCAACAACAAGAACGGCTGGGCGCTCCTTCCTGTCGTACAAGCCTCCCTCTGCCGTACCGGAATTTATAGCCTCCCTTGCGTCATCGCCTTACCGGGATTACTACGTTGTTGGCGCTGCTGCTGTGGGAGCCTTGGCATGGGTCAAGCTCTTTGACTTTCTAGCCGGCAACGGAACTCTAGAACAGGTAGCCACATGCCGCTTAACGGAATCGGAACTAAGGTATAATGTTACATTCTGTACACGTCTGTAGATGTGTCCGTACGAGCCAGGGGTTATGCATGGGGCATCAGGCGTGTTGCACCAGAATGCACCTAAAACAACTCATGTCGTCGTACGCATCTCCACTCCCCCCACTTGCCCCGCACACAGGTCTGCCTTTTCCGCCGCTCGCACCCCTAACCCTCCAACCCTCTCCCCTCCCCCTTCTCTTTCATTTTTCTCCCCCCAGAAACTGAGTCGCAAGGTGGTGCATACCACCGCCGGGCCCATCTTCGTCCTTACTTGGGCGCTGTTCAGGTGTGGGGGTCAAAGACCATATCGAGCCATAGGAAACCACAGGTTGGGGCATGACATGGGGGTTAATTTGGAAACAGAATCCGCATTACGCTGGATAGTCGGGATAGCAAATAACTGTAGTTGAAGACATGGGGGGGAACAAGGAAACTAACGAGGCAGCTGACGAGCTGGGAGGGTAAAAAAATATAATGAGACACTGACGAAGGAAGCTGGGAGGGGGCCGGGAGAGTGCAGGGATGGGGGTAATAACCCGGGGTAGCGGGCAAAGGGACGCTGTTCAGGTGAGTGTGTGGGGGGCGGGGTTGTGTGGGAAGAAGCGTGGGTAAGAGCGGAGGTACCGCTTCTACTATAAGTACCCCTACCCCGCTACCCCCCCTGCAGCGCCGCCCCCGCCGCCAAGTACCTGGCAGCTTTGGTGCCCATGCTCAACATGGCCAGGTGGGGGGGGTGGAGGGGTGTGTGGAGGGGTAAAGAAGGGGGGTTTCAGGGGAAGGAGATGAGTGGGTGAGAGAGGGAGGTGGGGGTGGACGACAGGGCGGCAGGAGTGGAACTTGGCAGGAACAGGCGCGGGCAGTAGCCCTGCTGCAAAGGTAGAGATGGGTAGGAACGAGGGGGCAGCGAGCGCCAGTGAGGGGATTGCAACGACGGGAAACCTGCCCTTACCGTTGTCTCCCGCTCCCTCCCGCTATGGTAGCAAAGCGCTGCTGCCTGCTCCCCCTCCTTGCCCCCCCTCCTGCCTCCCTCCCTCTTCCCCCCCCCCCCCCAGGCTGCTAGCGGTGGGCACGGGTCTGCTGGCCGACCCGGGGCTGGTCAAGAGTGTCAGCCGCTCGGGGGACCGCGGGGAGCTGCTCAAGGTACCGGGGGGGGATATATAGATAGGGGGGGGAGGGGGTTAGAGGGGGTTAGAGGTGGGGGACCGCGGGGAGCTGCTCAAGGTACCGGGGGGGGATATATAGATAGGGGGGGGGAGGGGGTTAGAGGGGGTTAGAGGTGGGGGACCGCGGGGAGCTGCTCAAGGTACCGGGGGGGGATATATAGATAGGGGGGGGAGGGGGTTAGAGGGGGTTAGAGGTGGGGGACCGCGGGGAGCTGCTCAAGGTACCGGGGGGGGGGAGAGGAGGGGGGGGGGAAGGCCCGAATCCCAACGCCCACTGCCATGACCTTTAGCCTTTTGACTCACGAGGATCCTCCGATTCCCCCTGTTACTGTTTGTCAGCGCCAGCACTCCGTTCACACCCTCCTCCCTCCCTCCTGCCTGTTCCCCTCCCTTCCTCCCTTCCTCCGTCCCTCCCTCCCTTCCTCCCTCCCTCCCGCCTGCTTCCCTCCCCTCCCTCCCTCCTGCCTGCTTCCCTCCCCTCCCCTCTTTACCTCCCCCAGGGCCCCCTGTACTACGTGGTGACGCTGGTGGGCGCTACCCTGCTGTGCTGGCGGGACAACCCCGCCGGTCTCATCGCGGTGTCCATGATGTGCGGGGGAGACGGACTGGCGGATATCGTGGGGCGGAGGTGGGGGGCGGCGCCGGGGGGGAGGCTGCCGTACAACCCCGCCAAGAGCTGGGCGGGAAGTGCGGCCATGCTGGTGGGAGGGTACGGCATGTCGTACGGGTGAGGAGGGGGAAAAGGGGGGGAGGGGGAAGGGAGGTGTGGAGAAGGGTTATAGGGCGGAGTGTATGTGTTTGTGTGCGTGCGTGTGTGCTCTCTTGCTACCTACCGTAGCGCGCCTCCACTATTCCTTCAACACACGGCTCTCCTCGTTCCTGCTTTGCCCTCCCCCCAGCCATTTTCATTCAAACACAACGGGTATTCTTCTTTCCCACCCTCCCTTTCTTTTTTTTGCCCTTTATGTTTTTCTATGGTTTCATCTAATCCAATTTGACCCCCCCCCTCCGCCTTCCCCCCACAGTCTGATCACGCTCTTTTGCCACCTTGGCTTCTTCTCCTGCTACCCGCCCGCCTCCCTGCTCTCCACTCTCGGCCTCATTGCTGCAGCGGCGACCCTGGTCGAGTCGCTGCCCATTGACCGCTGGGTGGATGACAACATGTCGGTGCCCGGGGTGGCGGCGGTGCTAAGTATGGTGCTGCTGAGCGGCATGCAACAGCCGGTGGCGGAGGCGGTGGGGGCGGTGGGAGCAGTGGGGGTGGCGGCTACGGCAGCGGCGGCGCAGGTAGGGATGGTGATGTAGTGGGGGGGGGGAGGCAGGGGGCGGAGGTGGGGTGCGAGGGTGGGGGTAGGGGTGTGGGGATGGGGGCGGTGTGGGGATGGGTGCGTGTATGGCAGTGCATGGAAGAGGAGAAGAGGAGGAGGGAGAGAGGGAGGAGGATGTGAGGAGGGGATGAGGCGGGCTGGTGTAGGTTTGAAGAGAGGGGAGGGACGCTTGAGGGACATCAGAGGAGCTGGATGAGGAGGAAGAATATGAGAGGGATGGTAGAAGTGGAGATGAGGTACGGCAATAGACTGAACCATAGGAATCCGCGACTAAGGGCAAAACATAGCGGCGGAAAGAGGCGGTAGTGTAGCGGATATGGCGGAATGCGTGAAAGAGGAGGCCACGAGTAAAGCGGAGATCGCGTTGTGGTCGTACGTTGTGGTCGTACGTACATGAATGACGGGTGGTCTTATGCGGAGAGGTCGAGCCCGCCTCCCTTAACTCGCCTTGAGCGGTGACGAGATGCGATACCGGTATGTTGGCGGCTGGAGTTTGATGTTGGTGATAACGGAGTCGGGCTTTAATTAAGATGCCTAGAAGTAAGAGCACGTATGTGCGGATGGAGGAAGTGGATTGCTGGTAGCCAAAGAGATGCTCTTCTTTTTATCCACAAGCTATCCAGCACATGCGGTACGGCAATTAATTGAGACCCTACCTCATTATAATGATAAGGATGCTTGCTGAAACAATGCCTTTCGAGGCATTGTTAAAACACCTAGGACTGTATGTCGCTTTTACTGTGTCTTCCTATCCGCCCTATTAATTCTGGTGGGCGGTTGCTATACGGCGCTGTTGCCGTACATGTCCGTGCTGTCTTGCTGGGGTTTGTTTGCTTTTGACAGGTGTGCAGTGGTTCAAGTGTAAGAGAGTATTGGCTATGTTGCTCGGGATGTAGGTCAAGTGTTGACGATTATGAAGTGCCCTGTCATCGCTGGGAGTTGTTGTGGTACGGTTTTTGGTTGCCGTACACTTCGGTACGTTATAGAACTTTCTTCTCTCTGACTGGTATGCATGGTCGACACTGCTAATTGCGAACCACAGTGTGAAAAGGGTCACAGAGTGTACTGAATAACTTAGCTCGCAGGTATGCCAAAATTGCTTACTTATGTACGACACCTGAGGGTCCACCGCAACCACCATGTATGGAGCCTCTGTGCGGTCTTTGCCCTTCCAAATTATTAGTTGCCGCTGCGTGTTGTTGTTTAACTGTCTCTGGAAGGTCCCGCGCCAGGTGTGTTGAGGCTTTACCTAGCGTTGACTTGAGAGGGTTGCCCTTTGCTAGAGCATTAATAATTTGTAACACCCGCATATCGTTGTCTACGGCATTGGGTCTACATCAGGGTTGTAGACAACCCTAATGACCTTGCATGGGCCGTGCGGCGAGTTGCAGAGTATGCGACTATTACAGGGGACTCAGAACGACTCAAGTGCGACGCACAACCCTGTTACAGAGGCCCCGGGGTTCAGCATGGATTCCGAGATCCGTGTACGGCACAGTTCCGGAGCGCTTGACGCCGAGCGATGCGAATGGCGAAAACACATGAAGGCGAAATTCGCCTGCTGTCCGCAATGCCCGCTTAGTTTCTCAGCAACCTGCGACTTTAAGGTTGGACTATAGTACACTCTTGAAGACTGAAACGCCTTGAAGGGGCTATACAGGCACACGAAAGAGCTAAGGAAAATGCCCACTTTGCAAATTGTTACAAATGGTGGGCAGGAGTATCACGAATTTTATTAGCTGGCTCCCGAACGCTTTGAGTCATTCGCATTCGCACCTCGCAGTGCCTGGAGATCGCGTGACATGCTCTGATGTGCTGAAGGCGCTTAGTAAAGCTGTAGCCAATAGTGTTGGCAAGCCAGAGCAGGTGGGCTCAGTTGGACCGCTGCGTAACGGCCCGACGCAACATCGCGAAGCCCTTTACTCCAACGCAGCCCATGTTCGTCCTCCAACATGCCTAATCGTGCGTGCGAAAATCAGTGTATGGTGCATGTCGCCTTCTCTTGCGCAAGTTCCTGCTCCAGATTGCCAATTCTATCAGTCGTCATCCTCACATCCGGAGCCGTTTCAAACCTAGCAATGACCTTCTTCTTCACGCTTATTACACTTCCGCATCACAGAACCTATCCCCGGTCCATCCTCCTCTCCTTCCTAATGCGCAGTGGGTGATGTGTAGTCTGACCACGGACAAGCCCATGTGCATGGCGGGGACGGAGGAGCCTTGCGCCTTTGGTTACCTCATGTCTATCGGGTCCATTGGAGGGGACAAAAACAAACTGGTGCGTGTTTAACTTCTTTTCCATTAGGAACAGGGCACAAAAGCAACACGCTGCAGCACGTCACAAGGCTCCAGCATGTGTAGCACTAGTGACGCTCCTACCCTGCTACCCTACTGGTGCTCTTTACTTCTCCTCCAACCACCCTCCCTTCTGCTCAACCTACCTCCACCTTCGTACGGCACTCCATCTCCTTCCCTGCAGCTCCCTCCCTTGCCACACCCTGCTACTGTAATCCCTCCGCTGACCTAACCTGTGGTTTCCTTTGGCTCGGTTTGATTCCTGGCCTCTCTTCTGCTCCCTGCCGGCTGTCATCAAATCTCTGCTGCCATATGCGGGGCGCTGTCCCTGTTCCCATCCCTCTACTACCTATGCTAGCTGGAAGCCCGTACAGCGCCCCTGGATTTGGTTGTAACTTGCGCCCCTCTCTTCCACTCCCTGCCCGCCATCATCATCAGATCTCCGCCGCCATATGCGAGGTGCTGTCCTCCCAGCTTGGAGTCCCGCCGGAGCGAACCTACATTCAGGTGGGTGCCGTACGCCGTACGGAGTGCTCGTGCATACACTTTGGGAGCTGTTTCAGGAAGGATGGAAGGAAGGAGACCGAGGGAAGGAAGGAGGGATGCACGCCGATGCCTCGTCTCCATGCCCATGCTTCTCCCCCATGCCCCCCACATGCCTCGCCATGAAACCCAACCACACCGCCTGCATCTCCCCTACCAACTCTGCTCGTCAGTTTCCCCTTTTTTGCCCCTCTGCTCCCACACACCCACCATCGCAGTTCTGTGACGCTGCAGCCTCGGATGTGGGCTGGAACAGCGATACCTTTGCGTGATCTGCATGATGACCCCCATGGCGGCCATGGCTCAACCGCCGACGCGGGACGGGCAGCAGTACAGGAAAGCATGTAGCTGGATGCAGCTGGTCTGAATGCCTGAGAACGCAGGGTCGGCATCTTGTTATGCAACTGAATGCAAGGCTGTCTACTTACTTCTGTATGCGTTCGTACTCGTACTTATAATGATGTCCATTCAAGAACTGCTGGATGGGAAGAGATTATGAAAAAGGCAACCCATTAATGCATGCATGCTTACACGGTTTCCGCGCGTCCAGGACAAACCGCCCAGAATTGAGGTTGTCCTCTTCCTTCTCTCCCACATGTCTCATCACAGTTGCCAGATGTGCGTACAGCAACATGAGTATGACGCGCGTCCCGTTTTTCTGATGACAACTCTTGACATGTCAATCCATCCTGAGGCATGTCGGCATCCTGCTGCCCATGTCAGCAGTATGACACGGCAAGTAATGTCCGTACGTCGTATAGGCGCGTCTAGGTACCGCACTACATATGCACACATGACTAATGTCCACTTCTTGTAGTGCAAACAAGGTATGCCGTACTAGACAAACAGCAGACAGAGCGCAGTGACTGTGTTACCCAAGGACTGGTATCACAACACTGCAAGGCACGGACGTCTAATCCTTTTCAATCCAACCACACTACCAGGCACTATTATGGCAACATCCTCGTCAACCGCTTCATTTATCCCCAAACCCCAAAGGGTTTCTTGAGCTTTCTCAACCCTCAAAAACTCCCGAACCGCAGGCCCTATACCCCAACAACACAGTAACTCCGAATGCAAGATGCTGGACAGATTTAAAGATAAAATTTCAATCACAGCGACAGTGTAGTAAACTTCGTAACCACATACAGTGTTGTGTGTTTTCCTAACCCGCTAGTGTTGTACGGCACGGCACGGCCCTGCTAGCAACAGCTGCCTTAGGCGCCCTGCTTTTGGAAGGCCCCCTACTACATCAAGCAGAACCAGCATTGCAGGAAAACCAACTCTATTTCATCCCATCCACATTACAACACGTGAGTATAACGTTAAGTTGGCTCGTCAAGTTGTCACTCAAAACATGTCAGCCTAAGCGCTCATGCCAGGCCCTCTGACACATACCTGGCCCCCAACGAAAGCGCAGAGAACTTCACGGCATGGTTTAGGAGCCCTCCATCCAATCACATGCAAAACAAGTTGTGCCTGTGCCCATGCTTGCCTCCCACCTTCGAACCAAACCAAGCCTTTTGGACCCCTCTCCTCCTCGGCTTTCCTTTCGCTCTGTGTGATCCTCATCTTGCTCCCATTTGCAAGCAACATGCCGCCGCAGCTCGTGCCTTGCATCGATCCGCATCCCTCGCAGAAGCAACAGCAACAGCAGCAGCGAACTCGCATGCGTCAGAAGTAAGCGTTTCGGATTGAATTCAAACGTAACTGTAAGTCGAACGTGACACGACGTGACACACGGGAGAACCGGGACGGCAGCAGCACATTGCAACAGCATGACACCGGCATTTTACTGCCGGTTGTTAATAAGCTGTGCCAAGCAACGGTAAGAGCAAACGACCACACAGACATGACATGGTTGCGACCCTTGGGATTCCTGTGTTAGGTGGGGTCCTGTCGGGGCCTAGGTAAAGGCAAACACCCGTGTAGAGGGATTAGCCTTGATTGTGAAATGTAGTTCCAATCGCACAGCGAAACCGCATTAACGAACCATTTGTTTGCTTAACGACCTTCACTGCTATATCGATACCGAATCCATCGCAAGTAATGACACCCCACAAAGCCGTAGATCAGTTCAGGGCTATTACTAAGGCGACTGCGGTAAACACATCTGCCAACGTATGTACGAGCATGCACATACATCTGATGTGACCTCCCAAAACGTCAGGCGGCTCCAGCAACCCGCATTTCGCCGACAGCCAATGCAACCCTGAAGCAAAAAGCTGTACAGTCAACGACCACAATCCCGCCTGCAAAGCGCTAACAACAACGTGTTATCAGACTCTCCTGAACCACCATTCATCACAACAAGGCGTACTAGTTGCAAGTAATGTTCTTCTCCAGTTCGTTTCCTAACGCAGTACAACAATAACCAGTCGCCAAAAACACGTCCCTCTCGCACTGTGGCCACTATACCCTCGTTGCATCCCCAAAGCTGTTGCCAGCGAAATTCGTTGGCGCTGCCGCCGCCGCTTCAACCACAATCGTCGAAGCCGGAAGTAGCGGCAGGAGCACTGGCGGTGTCAACGCCCCAGCTTGCGACGGAAGCTGCCCAGGTGCATGCTGCTGCTGTTGCTCCTGAAGTTGTTGTAGGCGCTGTTGCTCTGTTTGCTGGTGCTGGTGCTGGTGCGGTTGGCTTGACTGCCTGTCTCGCGAGTGGTGAAGGATAGGATGATGGTGGTGCTGATGCTGTGGCAGGTGAAGGTGGTGGTGTCCGACACCAATACTGCCGCTGATGTTTCGTTGGTTATGGTGTCGAAGGTGATGATGGTGGTGATGCCTGTCGCTAAGGCTGAGGGCTGCGATCAAGTCCTCTGTAGATCCCCACAGGCTGTCGCCGCCACCTCCGCTTGCGCCAGCGCCGCCGCCGCCGCCGCTGCCGCTGCCGCCGCCGCTGCTAGCATAAGCGCACGCGCCGTCACTGTCGGCGGCGCCAGAGGCGCCGGCGCAATGTCGGAGTCGATGGCGGTGGTGCACGATGAGGCCGCCAGCCCGCCGCAACAGGGGATGATGATGCGCTGCCAAGCCCAAAGAGGACGCAGTTGCTACAGCCCCTCCGCCACCAACGCCACGGCTACTGCCGGCGCAGGAGGCGCTGCTAACGCAAGAAGCGGCCGCCGCCACCGGTGCGGCGGCGGCGGACGGTAACGTGTCCGCTGGTATTATGCTGGGGTTACCGTGGGCAGCGCTGATGCTGGCGACGGCAAAGGAGCAGCTGCCATCGGCGGCGGCGACGGCTTCCGCATGTTCTGCTGGGTAGCTGCCGCCAGCGCTGGAACAGTTGCGGCTACGGACGGTTGCAGCCATGTTGCCGTACAGATTAGCGTTGCTGCTGCTATTGCTATTGGCGTTAAAGCTACGGCAGGAGCTGACGCTAGGACGGTCCTCATTGGCAATGCACCCTTCGTTGTTGATGTTACTGTTACTAAAGCTGTTGTCATTAGTAAGGCTGTTGCAGTTGTTCAGATCGCTGCTGCAAGAGGCGTGACGCAGCCGCGATACGGCTGCAGCTTCCGCTGCCCCTAGCGGCGCAATCAGATCCTGTTGCTGGTGCAGCGGCGGCAGCGGCTGCCAAGGACTGGTGCAGTTCCCCAATCCTGTGACCCCAATCCCCATCTGCTTCACTCCTCCGCAGCCAACCCCGTAATCGAAGCTGCTGCCAGGCACGAACCCAGGAGCAACACCCCCGCTTCCACTGGCGAGGCCGCTGCTGGCGCATGGAGGTATAGGCCGCAAGGAATGCGGCTGACAGGGCGGCAGCACCGAACCGACCCGTGGGTCATTTTCGCCGTAGGAAGGAGCGCTGCTGCTCTCGAAACCGCTGCCACTGGCGATAAAGCTCCTGCTACCGCCCAGGCTGCCAGTGCTTCTGCTGCCGTTGCAGTAGCAGTAGTAGCAGCCGCTGTTGGTGCTGCTGGTGCCGCCACAGCAGCAGTTGCTGCTGCGACCTTGCTGGATTGGCAGTAGCGCTGACAGATGAGATAGGTAGCTGTTTTGCAGCTGCTGGCATTGCCGTTGCACGGAGACCTGCGGCTCCTGGGCCACCTGGGGTGTTGAAAATACGGAAGCCAAGCTGCAGTTGCCGTACAATTCATTGCCCAGGCAGCTGGGAACGCTTGGGCTGCCCTCGGGGCTTATAAATGCCTCGGAAGGATCAGTGAAGATGGTGTCGTTGCAGGGGCAGCGGTCCGGTGCGCTATCCTCCTCTTCGTTAAATACGTCCATGCAGGGAATGGATTGCTGCGGGCTGCTGCGAGCACCAGCGCTGGTAGCAAGCGAGCTGCAGCGGACCCCAAGCTGTTGAGGAGACAAAGAGCCTCCATGCCGTCGCAGATCAAAGCTAGATGGTCGCTTTGCAAGGGCGAGAGCCGAGTTGCCAAACTGCGTGCAGTGCACGAGGTCTAGGGAAGAAAATGATTGGCTTTTGCTGCTGTAATATCTGGACAGTCCATTGCGCGAACCGCACCGCTTCTTTAGCGGCTTGACTTTAACGGACTCAACGCCGGCTGCTGCATCCTCAGGGTTGTCTTGCGACGCCCAGACCATCCGCAAGGTATCTTTAGTGGGGGCCGATGGTCGCCACTTCAGCTGTCGCGATGGGAAAAAACGGTTGGCAACGCTATGCTTGCGTGGCGCGACGGTGGCGAAACTCTGATAGAGACGCTCCTGTATTAAAGAAGCTCCCTCCGTAAAACCTGAAGCAAACACGGAAAGGCGCAAGCGCAGCGCTGTTACTGAGGGTGTTGTGCATGGCGCCGCCGGAACAAGGCTGACGCCCAGCAACCAAGGTAGGCAACGAAGCGTCTGTCAACTATACTCATGTGGTAGCACATATACGATCGTGGCAGAGACTTGAGCTAGGACGCGCTGCAAGCGTTCTGCAAGCTGACCATGCTTTCCGGTACAAGCAAATACGGCGCCCACGCGACACTACGATTTCCATTAGTAACATAGTGGTAGTCGCATCATGTGTGGATAAGGTCTTGCTGCCAAACTCAAGATAAAGTGCATGCTGCGTCACAAACCCGTCCATTCCGACGTGGATTCTTCTTGGCTCGTGCTCCCTAGAATTGCTACCCGAGGACCCGGCTGAGATCCTCACTTCGCGAAGCAACAACCAGAGATGCTTGAGTGTCCCATAACCGGCCAGTGGCCGAGGCGACTCACCGGGCAATGCTATCCTGAACGCGCACCAGCTACCATGGCGACAACGCTGTGTACCGGTAAGCTAAGCTGTACTGCGGCTTTTGTCTTTGTTCCAGTTTAGCGGTATATAATAATAAAGGCGAGCAAGAATACCGCAATTCCTGGACAGAGTGCTTATTGGCTAGTAGGCATAACACCTGTTTTTGCAATGCATTTGATAATATGCGTCAAGTAACATGGATGAGGAAAAGGGATAGCTGTGTACGGCATGTCATGTTACGTGGCGCGTGCGTGGACTGCGTAATCCCCCTCTGTACAACCGCGAAACGCTGAATGAGTGCAAAATGTTAGGAATGCGACATATGTAGTGTACCTTGGATTGGTTGGGCCCAGTCAGATGCGGAGTTCGTTGCCGTTTGCCACATGGCCTACCGGCAGAACCAGCTAATGGTGAACGTGGCGACTTGTCCTGCTAGAAGCTAACACTATTCACGCATCTTAACCTTGGGCGCACGCGAATTTATCACATCTGAAGCGGAAGACACCTGTGACCTGTCTCGGCTTAACAACGTCATGCCCGGCGCCTGTAGATTTAGAACGCACCCCGAAGGGCGTGGGATTAACGCCGTCATGATAGTTGGCTGCATCACTACTATTTTTATTTTGCTGCGCGCTCTGCCTGCCGCGTTGCCATGCTAGGCTTGCGGGCACTCCAACGCTGATCCGCGTCCCTGGACACCTCACATGACAATGATCTCAAGCTTAGTTGAATTGGAAAAGCCAATCCTTGCGCAATACGCTATGGTTCTGGTTGATCCCTTGGTGCACCGCTCAACCGCATTGACATTTGCACAGGCCTGGATGTACAGCGGCGGCTCGTCACCCTCAGGCTCGTGAGGCACGATGTGAAAATCAAGACGAGAAGAGAAGCACAGTCCCATGTGCCGGGGGTCCTATGTTGCAGGGTGGGAGGGCTTACACTGTTCATTGTAACCTCGCTCAGGCGAATGCAAGGCGGTTTAGCATGATGTACTCAATATGCTATCCTTTGAACGAACTGCAAGCGAGGTGTGGGCTGTCTCAGCGTTGTTGGTGACATCGGGGGTCCTACCAAGAGAGGCCTGCTTGTAGACAAAAGTAAAACACTGCATCATGGGCAAGAGTTTGTACCCGACACCCTGCAACAAGCATGCCCTTACGTACGACACCCGGCACCGAACACCCAATGCAACAGCTGTGATCTCATTCCAAAGTATTACATGTACACGCTGACCCCTGGCCATGCAACCGATTGCCACACATACTTCCCCTGCAGTCTTCTATCACTGCGTGTATAATCTGCATCCTGCGTAAGCTTCTCACAACAGTATGGGCAACTAACCTCCCTGCATGCAGGAATCACCACCACACCAGAGGAAGCGTATCTTGCAGTAACTTTGCAGCACCATCACGTACCGTGGGTGCACAACTGACCCACGGTTCCAAGGCCAGCAGGACCTGACAACCGTCAATGTATCCAACCACCGCGCAAGGGACAAGGCGTCCTTGCATCTTAACCAACCAACCCCCAATACAACCTTCTCAACCGTGCCTCCCCGCTACTGCTGAGGCAGCGACGGACACCCTCTATCTAATCCCCAACCCCGCCCTCACCATTCGAACCATCCCCGGACCCCCCGTCCCGCGCCTCTCGGCATCACTGCAGCTCTCTTCCTCCTCCTCTGCAGAGTCGTCTCCGCCCAGCATAATAGCCAGTGGATTAATAAAGGCGCTGGAGGCATGGTTAGGAAGCGCCTCAGGGTCATGCAGGGGCAGAAGACGGGATTGCTGGTACTGATGGCTGAGAGGGTGACGGGAATCAGCACCGCATGTAAAGCCGCTGCCATTGTGGCCATAGCTGTTGCCGCCTGCTGCGTTGCCAGTACCCTCACCACCTCCACCGGCATCCCTGCCGCCTGCCATGGCAAACTCCTCTGCGAACATAGCGCCTTCAGCACCGTCAGGCACGGCTTGTGAGGTGGCATTCGAAGCCCGTGCAAAGCGTGACATCACAGGCAGGCCGTACGAGGCATGTGAGGCGGTGCTGCCCCGCCGCCCGCGGGATGCGAACCCTGGCCCTGTGGCATAATTGCCTGGGGACCCCATTATAGGGCCCAAGAGAAACAAGCCGGGAGGCAGCAGCCGTCTGGTGGAGGATGGGGAGGTTGGACAGGGCGGTACAGAAGCCGAGGAGTAGGTCCCCACTGCCGCGGTCAGGCGGCTGGACCCAGGCTCCGTCAGTACTGCCGCAGCGGGGAGCAATGCTGTTGTTTGTGTAGATGGCGAGGGTGCTGATGGCGGTTGGCCCCCTTGAAGGTGGTCATTGGGGTGAGGGATGACAGGGGCTGCGGCCGTGGCAGCGGTGGTGGAAGATGTGGATTGCATGGGCTTGTTCATGGCCGGTGGCATTGGGAGGATCAGCGGCAGGGCCGAGCTGCGGTAGCTGCTGCCATAGATGCCGGCGATGTTGCCGCCACCGCTGCGACCTGCTGTGCAGACACCTTGATGGTCGTTGTTGCTGCTTTCAAAGGGTATCTCGGACGACATGCGTGCTAGGCTGACACTGCTCTGGTACTGCTTGTTTCCGTTGTTGTTAATGCTGCTGACAGTGGCTGCGGCTGCGTCCCCTTCGATGTAATCTTCCTTTTCGCCCATCACCTCACTGGCAAGGACGCCGCCACCACTGGCGGTGCTTCCCCTGCCGCTGCAGCCGGAGGCCCGTTTGCCGCCGCACTGCTGGAAGGCCTCACTGAAGCTGGGCGTCAGGTTAAAGGCCGGGTTACCGTAGGAGATTCCATGACCCATGCTGCTGCTCGCATGGTCAGCACTGCTGCCAGCGCTTCTGCCGCTGCTGCTCGTATGACTGAGGGTGCTGCTTCTTCTTGATCCATAGCGGCCGCTATTGCGGATAGCCGACTGCTGCTCTAAGCCTTGCGGAGCTCGCCCCTCTCCTGCTGGCCCCATTTGATCATCGCACAGCCGCCGCCAGGGCTGGTGCAGCACCTCCTCCTCCTCCTCTGCCGTGTCGCCGCCGTCCACCGTTATCCCCGCTGCTTCGGCTGCTGCTGAGGAAGCAGCAGCAACAGGGGAAGCACCGGCAACAGGGGTGCCGTACTTTTCGGAGAAACGCTCCACTCCCTGTTGCTTCAGTGACTGCCCGGGATGCGGGTCAGCGGTCACGTGCCAGTAGGGATCCAAAAGGACAGACATGGTGGGGCCGGTGACTGCATCAGCATCAGCAGCGGCAGGAGAAATGGGATAGCCAGGATCAAGAGCAGCAGCAGTAGCAGCAGCGTCCTCCTCCGGAATAAACAACGCAGAAGCGGAAGACCGGCGAGCAGCAGCAGCCACTAGACGGCCTAAGAAGCTATTGTTGCGATTACTCGTGATGCGTGGGAATTGGAGGTGTAGACTGCTGCGATGGGGCGAGGATACTGCAAAAGGCATGCCGAGGAGCACCGCAGGGGCAGCTTGTCGACGCCGTGGGCTGCTGTTGCTGTTGCTATTGCCGCTGCCGCTTCTCCCAAGGGGGCTGCTGGTATACCCCATTGATCTGCTGCCGGCACGGCGACAGGCGGATGGCCTCGGACTTCTGGTGTCAAAGTAAAGCACGGAGGTGGGGGAAGGGTCGGGGCCCGGTATCTGCTGGCTAGGTGGGGAAATGGTGCTGTTGCTGAACCTGTGACGATTGTAGCGGAGGGGGCTGCTGCTGAGGAGTGCGGCGGCAGAGGCACGGCGGTGGCGAGCGTTGTTTGGGTTGATGAATGAAGGCAGTGGCATGCCAGCAGGGCCGGTAGAGGCACTGCGCCCCACGACTGAGAGGAAGGACCTGCGGGCGCCAGCCTTCAATGCGGCCATGGCAGCTGTGAGGGCCCCTGGAGACGAAGTGCTGTTGCCACCGCCACCACTAAAGTCGAGGTCATCCGAATCGCTGGTTTCCTCATATCCCTCTCCGTACCCGTCCTCATCATCATCTGTGCAGCTACCACTCGCAGAGGACTGTGAAGGCGACGTCGACATTCCATCTTCAGCGCTGCTGCTCCTGCCGCCATCCAAGCCAAGACGACGCTGCTTCTTCCGTTGGCGTGTCATCAACTTGCCCTTCGCCAGTTGATTGCACCGGCGTTTATGCAGGTAGAGGAAGCCTCCTAGCACGGCAAGGAACAGCACCGAGGTACCCACACTCACTCCCACAATGACCGGCAACAGGCTCTTAGCCCTCTGTACGACAGTACTACCAGAGGTGCTGCTACTGCTGCTGCTACTGCTGGTAGCAGAAGCGCCCGTGGCCGAGGAGGATGGCAGAACCGAGGGGATGTCACAAGTGGAGGGAACACAGGAGGCGGTGACGGTTATGAAGGCACAGCCGGGTGAGAGAGCTGTACGGCGGCTACCTGGGTAGAAGGTGCCCTCGGAGGGAAGGCATTGCTGTGGTGGGAAGGAGTTGTGGGAGGGGGTAGGGTGTCAGGTCGGGACAGGGCAGCAGGAAGCGACGGGCTGATCATGCATTAATGCGAGGGTTGTACGGGACGCAAGGATTGGTGTAAGCCTTTCAAGCATTCACAGGTAGATACGTGTATGCATCTCCGTGCAGGAGGGCGCTTGTGGCAAATCAAAGCTGGAATTGATTGCACAACTACCGGTTGCTACCGGTCACATGTGTTGTGGAAAGTGCGAGCGACATCATGAATCCAGCAGGTACGGAGATCAACAGTAACCCACGGGCCCTGACTTACGCCTGATGCCAGATCAACTTCAACTTGAAGGTAGAACGTTGCTTCATACTTGACTGGGGTGGCATAGCTGCAGTTGAAGATGTGCGTTGGAATAACAACATCTAGCGTTGCGCGATGCTTGTTGCAATCGGCATTGAAACTCTCATTGAAACTCTGGTGAAACCTACGGCCAAGTGAGTTAAGCAGACTCTGTTAATACAGATGAGAGACATTCAGGTAAGGCACTAAAGTATGTAATGGATGTTAGCATGTCATGTCCCAAGCTGTCACCATCACGTTTAAATGGATGCCTGACAGCTGGTGCTTCAGCTCGCAGGAACTAATGCTTATAGATGTTAGCTATGTAAAGTATATACTACTCACATTGATGCTGCTACTGGGCAGGCTTCGGGTGCTTCGGTCATGAGGCATGTGCGAATGTTGGTATCGTCCGCCGCTGAGCTCGGATTCGCAAGGAATAAC